GGAATTTTCAGCTGCTGTGTACACTATTCAATGAATGAATTACGCCTCGCGCGACAAATAATCAGGTCACAGTATGCAAAATCAAATTTAATTGCACTTTTAATTGGTAATGCATTTAAATTTCTCAACTACACGAAAGTTAGACCTTAAAATTTAACTGCGTGTGAAAAAAGAAAAGATTCAGTATCGTGAAAATGAAAAATTTGGGGGTGTGCGTGAAACACCCACAATGTACACAATTACGGAAAATTGAAACGCACGTAAGACCCACCGCGACGCGAAAAGAAACGCTTTTCTGTAAAATGGCATCTTATTCCTTTGGTAAAGTTAACGAGTAACAACGACGCCATTCAACAGGTGCTTTTGAAAAAAAAAAAAAAAAAAAAAACTGTATGCTCCGTACTCTCTGGATTCGCGCTAATTTACGCTTAACTGTAAACTACAGTTGCCCCTCCGAGGATATAATTAAAATTTTTAATTACTTCACTTTGAGTGATCTTTTTTTTTTTTTTTTTTTTTTCTTATACATCCTATACTATTTACAAACGTATACAAGTAATAACGCACGAAGAGATGAGAGAAAAATTGTCAAACAAATGCTTAAACTTAATGGTGTACGCGATGCCATCCAAAACCAATCCAAACCCCCGCTTGTTTTTATAAAATAATAAAAGCTCCGACAGGACTAAAAGCCCAAGCCCGTGAGAGGAGCCCAAGGAGCGTATGGCTTTTTCTCCCCGTGCACACACGTGTCCGCGGTTATTTTCTCAGGCGTGGCCAAATGGCGGCTGATGCTAACGAGCGAGCCCTCACGGGCATGCAGCGTGGCCTCTGGACTATTGGGAAACACGCACCTCGGACGTGATAATGTTGAAGAATTTCGAGAGGACTTTTTTTTTATTTATTTTTTTTTTAATTACTGCGACTACAGAGAGAGGAAATGGCTCTCTTTCACCGACGCACACCCGAAAATAAAGTAAGCGACTCGTGGTTTGAGGGAAAGAAAAAAAAAAAAAAAACGAAAATTAGTTCTCCCCAAAAGACAAATGTACGTGTGCATTCCCGAAGCGTCAAAGGGAGCGCGAGTCCGTTGAAAAGAATGCATAAGTAACTAGTCCGCTCCTAAAGAGGGAGAGAAAAATAAATTTTCAAAATCCCCGCGACCCAATTCCGGGGAGAAACAAGCCCGAGAAAAGACAGTCGCGCAACAGAGAGAGAGAGAGTGAGTTGTATATGTATAGCCATTAAGCCGCGCACAATGAAAACTTGTTGCGCTTCATGGGTATGGCGACTCATTTTCCGCAGGAGAAACAGCCGGCAACGGGGAGTAGAGGCCCAATGGTAAGTATATAAGCGCAAATTCAATTGGGCGACCACCGCGCGACCCCTTGAAATCCTGCTAATGTATACGCAACTTCTCGTGCGTGAGTCCGATACAGTGTCGCTCTGTGTGCTCCGAGTGAGCGAGGCGATCCATTAGCTCTTGCAGCGTGTGTTCTCGGTTATTTAGAGCCTCTCCCCCCCCCCCATTGTCCATCCTCCTTTCGTCCACCTACACCTTACGTATACATGTATACACAGCCCAATAAGCGAGAGGATGCTCTGATGTAGGAGCTATTTGGATGCTGCTTGCATGCGCATGCATGTGTATATATATATCCACACATAGGGCGTGTGTTTGTTGCACGAGGAGGTATACCAAAATACGGTGGTTCTGTATTGAACCTATTATACGTATACCTGTATACAACAGTGCAGAGTACAAAAAATCTTTGTTATTGTTTTTTACATAGATCGGCGTACAGTAAAAATTAACGAGTCTGAACGACCACATATTTATATAATATTGATCACTTTGTACCTATTGCCGTTTGACGGCTTTTGAGCTTCGCGAGATGTTTGGCTCTCCTACATGTGACATCTTAATAGAGATCAAAGCTTTGATTGACGGCCAAGTGAAGCTTTGCGTAGTGTGACTACTGATTAATGCTATAGATACAGCATCTGTACAATGTAGGGGCTCAATTTTGTGAAAGGGAAACAATAGGTGAATTGCGTATATTTATAGGTACAGTGAAAAGTTTGCACAAGACATTTCGCGGTCTGTGTAAGGCGAAAAAAGGAGGTGGGGGGGTGTGTCGATTTAACCGGTATACAAAGTGAGCGATGACCTAGATAAGGTATATTTGGGTCCCGAAGGAGGAGGACGCAACTTGTCCATGTGAAAAAAAAAAAAAACAAAAAAAAAACCTTGAATTACTATTGCCTCGGATGAGCGTGTTTTCGGATTTTCAAATCCGTCGAGCCGGGACCCCTTGTTTGGAGTCCAGGCGACAGATCGAGTGGCCGGACTCTCTATGAATCCCCGGCGAAACTCGTCATTTCGAATATTACGAGCGAGAGGAGGCAGAGGTGTACACGGCATTAAAATTGAATCGAGCCGGCGGCGCGCTTTTTCTCATCCAACGATCGTTAAACTCGGAACGGGAGAGTTTTCGTTACCGAGCCGAGCTTTTTACTACCTAAAGCCCATTACCGCTGCCTTTTTTTTAAATTTTGTTTACCCCGTACAATACCTGTACACAGAAGTACTCGTACCAATATATACGTAATGGCCGGACGGGAAATTTTGATTGCGCTCACGCGAGCTACTCCACTTTTTTTTCTCCTTTATTTCTTTCTCCAAGGGTATTTCGCGGTGCTGATGCTTGTATATCACTGATGCCGTTGATGGACTGCTGGAGGGGGTGTTTGCGCCCTGATGTAATCCTGTGGGAATTCGCCGATCCGAGATTAGATATTTTCATGATAAGTGGATGAAAAAAAAAAAAAAAACCTTTTTTCAAGCAAACACCGAGAGGTTAATCCGTGAACGGGAGACGATGGAGTATTTGTAACTCGGCACGCAAATAACATTTATTCAATCAGAAGAAGAAGAAACTTTTCTTTGCATGTATATGCAAGTACACAGCAGTTAAATTTCGCGTCGGCTGGCGCACCCGCGTCCACCTTAGGAGGAGCCGATGGTAATCTCCGTCATTTTCCCTCCCCTCGAGAGACCATGTGAATTCGAGCGCTCTCGTATGTCCTATCGCTCGAGACATCTCATTTCGTTTGTGATAAAAAAAAGGAAACGGGAAAAAAAAAACTTCTCCCTTCCAAGCAATTTGCCTTTAGTACAGCCGTTAGAATTAATTAGCCCGGGAGCTCTACTTTTGAACTAGCTCGTGCGTGTACAATTTACCTAACGCCAAAACACTGAATTTCCCAGATAATATGTTATCTTTGACGCTCGCAAAGAGGACACTTTTCAATGATCGCTTTGAAGTGGCGAACGACAACACGGCAGCCAATAGAGTCGAGTGGAGGTCCCGACGAGGGTTTTTCGGGTAGAAATAGCTCGAGAGACAACGCGAAATTATCCGGGGAACGCTCGGAAGCGGGGCTCCTGTGATCCGCGAGAGAGGAGCCAATCGATACAGCTCCAACAGGTTGCAGCCCCGTTGTACCCGTGTAACTCGGCGGAAGCGATAAAGTAACGAACTTTCGCACGATATATAAATAAACTATTTATTTCCCTCCCAAAGCCACGTCGGAACAAACAACGCGGCGATGATGATTAAAAGTTTCCGCAGCTCCATTGTTCGTATGTGCGTGATTGCACTCTTTGCATTGACGAAAAGTTTTAATTGCTGCCCCCTCCTTTTTTTTTGTCTGTGGATACCCTAAAACGTACGCGTCAAATCTATCGGAAATGCAATCGGGACAACGGAAAAAAAAAAACTCCTCGACTGGTATAGTTCCGGATTGGCGCACGAGTCTCGGGACGATCGGTATTCGGTACGAAGCACAAGCGAGAAAAAACAGTATACCTGAAAGGCCGAGGCTGCCGATCGCGTCCGCTCGTCCGTCAACTGAATAAGGCTCGCATGGCAGCAGCTCCTGGCCCCCCCACTCGTTGTTGCCGATCACATGAGTATCAACAACAACAACAACAACAACAACAACAACACACTATAGACCGCACTGGCACTCACTACTCTTTTGGCTGCAGGGGCTGCAGGTGTGAAAACTCTTTGGCGGCACACTGTACTATCGTAACAGGAGGGACACCGCGCGAACAGGCGAAAATCGGCACGGTGAAACCGAGACCCTGGCGATCACTGGATCGGTACCTACATCCGCGCACTTTCACCCCAAAGGGGTGTCACGAATCATCGGAAGTACAACTATAGCTGGCGGCTGGGGGAGGAGGGCTCGCGGGCTCGCCGCCACGGTCTCGCTATACCGACTGCGCTCCGCAGGGCTCTCGGATCGCCAGCGGCAGCAGGAGGCTCGTGCTTACCCTCTCGCTCGCACCCCATCTCCTCTCCCCGGTGCTCGTGTTCTTATGGGTGTTGTACGCATGGGGTGGTGGTGGTCGTCCGTCTCGCTCGCTCGGCTGCGATTGAATTTGAACGCGCCGCCGGTGGAGGACCAATGGGGCGACACCTGAAGACTCCTCTCTCTCTTTCTCTCTTTCTCTGCTCCTGCGGGGCTGGCGGCTATGGTGCCACGACAAAGTCGCTCGGGGGGCTCTCTCGCGAAGGCTGCGCAAGCGCGTCCACCAGGACACGTACTCGCCTTAATTTTTTGTTCAAGCTCCACTGTGTCTCTCTTGGACAACTGTGTACTGTGTATTACATGTGGGCCTGACATTCAAGAGGAACCGGTTGTGTCGGGGAGACAGATTTCATCAACTACATTTTTTTCAACACATCCGTCTGCATTTCATGATTTTTTATAATTCGCTTAATACCACCTACCATACAAACCTATATTCATATTCTTTTTTTTCTTCTCTTTGACAGAAAGTATTTTTTTTTTTTTTAAGGACAAATCGGTATAGGATGCGAATAACTAGAGATGACAATGCAATTGAAAGTTTCGTTAAATTTAGCTTTTTATTCAGGATTCATACATATATAATATTGATAATAATAAACAATAATAGTCGCAGCTCTCTCTCTCTCTCTCTCGGGTCTTGCTTATACCCGTACCGTCCCGCAAACGAGCGCGCATAAATATAATATATGTGTGTATATATATAATATATGTATATATGTACAGACGTATATATGTCAGTTCATTCGTATAATAACATCCTGTACATTTTCAAGCCACAAGTTACATCGCTCGTATGAAAAAAAAAAAAAACCATTCCTATACGTACATAAATATGATAATACTTCACAGTTTTTAACTTTAACGCCACGCAACACCAGAAACATTGATTTCTTCGCTGGAATATAATGTGATGGTAGGCGGTAGCCCCAAACAGCCGCGAGCATCGCTCCCCGTGTTTTGGAGCCAAAAAAGCTTCGTATTTCATATTCGACGGCAATTGGTGTCTCGGTTGAAAAGAGTTACGTAAACCCAATTTGGGTGAGCAGTTACGCGAAAATGTTCGGAGCAAAGCTCGCGGCTGTTTGGGGTAAGATGTGCCTGTTGAATATACTTTTCCAGCGTTTCGCTTATCTTTTTGCACATTCGTTTATATTTTATCACGGGCCAAATTCCCCCGACGGAGCTCGCGCTGTACACCGATCTACTATCACTTGAACCCCTTTTATTTTTCGCTTTCGACGCCTAAAGCTTTCTTTAACATTTGCACTTCGACCCTCGATCATGTCGGATATCATGTACTTGTACTCTTGGCTAACTTACACTCGGCTTTTCTGCATAGCAGAGGATTTGTGGAAACCCTTTACTTACTGCACCAAAACGGCGCTGTGAACCCATTCTCGACAATGAAATCGAATACTCTAAAAAAAGCCATTTTTTCAAATTTAAAATTGAAATGCACGTATTTTTTAAATGTTGCAACAAGACGATGTGTGAAGAAATTTTATATCAACGTGACCATTGTTTGATTCAATAGTTATCTATTACGAATTCGTTTGAGTCAAACGCAAAAAGTTCACCCTCGTGTACTCGTAAAACGCTACATACAAAAATGTTTTTTATCAAAATTTTTTTGAATAACAACGTGTATTTTTTTTCTTTTTTAGTATGTTAAAGGTAATAGATTACATCTAAATGAATTGCAAAAAAATGTATATGCTTACGACATACTTTCAAGCGATTTGTGTGAAAAATGGAGTTGTAAAGTTTATCTTTTGCTTCAACCCAAGACTTTGAGTAATAACCGACGATAACTTTACTCAGCGACCCGCTTATACAAATCGCCGAGGTGGTTGCACGATTATTTTTTCCAACTCCACAAAATAAGCTCCTCGTCAGTGTCTTAGATGAGTAAGTTTAGCAACCATAAATTGCATCCCTATCAAAACTAATTGGCGAAAACTTTTGATTTTTTTTCGTCAAACACTAGAACAATACATTCGACATAATCACACCTGTAGATAAGATAATTTTAGTACGAGCATAAACGTTTAATAATATATTCTCGATATAATGAATTTATACCAACCACCACGAACATAATTTGTTGAAACAATACAAGAAACTTAACATACAAAACGTTCAATAAGCTACAAGTAATGCCACCAATTAAATGTATTTTGCAACAAAGAATAAAAACTATAATTGATGCGTGTAAAAAAAAAAAAGCTTGTGAGGAAATGTACAATTCATACTGTATGACAATTTTCTATGGGCTAACGATCCTCGTATGAAAAAAAAAAAAAATCGGCCAAAGGACGAGTCTCGACAAGTCTAATTTTTGTCTGAGAGCAAATCAATGAAGCTGGAAAAAAACACAGGACACCCTTACCGCATGGGTAATAGTTTAACATACACAGTACTCGAACGTACGTGAAATCGGTATGGAAAGAGAATATCAGTCTCGTCGCGACTCGTCCTCCGCGTATCAGAGTTTCCTTCGAAGTAATCGATTGTCAATTACTATTAACATACGTTTACTCTCGGCTACAGCATCGATGTTGTATTAGTGAATTAATTGATTATCTATACTATTTTCTAAACCGAATAGATGCACATTCACTCGCGCGAGCTCTTTATGGATATTACTTATAAAAATCGAAACACTCGTCATCCAATGTATTTTACACACAAACAACAAATCGTTTCGCATTACCATTCGACTATCTAATCGATAAATTGGCTTTCCCGTAACGCGCGACGCCACGGATTATCAATATTAATACCTATCTAAACGATTATACGACGTGCTCGTGTATAAAAACGCAAACGTCAACATCACGACCCTCGACTTCTCGAGTGACAGTGATACGCGAGCGCCTTTTCGTTTACACTTGTATACAACACAAATTTAATAACACGTTGGTAATTAACACTCGAGTAAAAAAAAAAAAAAAAAAAAAAAAGAATATTTATACAAATATAACATATACGTATGATTGTACTCTCTGGTCAATAGGAATGAACAATGAAAATACACAAAAGAATACAATGAAAAACAAACGTGACGAAACAGCCCGGAATACATATAATTGCACGCACCATCGCGAAAGCCCAACGAAAATGCAGAAGACGAAACAATACATTTACATAAATTGTTAAATCATTAAGCGTACAAGCTAAATAATTTTTTTTTTTTTTTTTTATTTGCGGTAAGGGAAGAAAAAAATATCCCGACTCGTGTTGACAAATTCGGCGATCAGCTCGCCTATACATGTATGATTTATTTTACCTATCTACAATTGTTGTAACTAATATTACTATTTATAATATCTTATCTCTATTTCTCTGTGTAAACTTAACGCAGTATCAATTGTTTATTAATTCTAGCACTCCCCGAGATGACGATTGTAAAAAATGTTCGATCCATTTCTCTAATGTTTTTTTGTTTTTTTAAGCTCCCTCCTGTTTTTTTTTTTTTTTTTTTTTTTGTTGTTTTTTATTATCATTAAAACGTTCGCACGTCGCGTGTACAGAAACAACTTGTTCGCGCTTTGGTGCGTTTGATGGATTAGAAAAAGAAAGCCCAAAAAAGTGTGCACATGCAGGTGTGAGACGACGTTTTCCCGGTAAAAATACCCGTACGCGAAGAAGAAGAAGAAGTCGGCTGCAGCTTCTCCGCGTCACTTATCGGGGTGGGTATCGGTTGCGCGACTGCTGGCCCTTCTGCGATCGATCCTTCATGTCCACGGGGTTGTACATCATTGGTCCCTAGTTACGGGGCGAAAGGTTACGATGGTCGACTGATTGCCTTTTATCTCTTGCTTACCACGTGCGTTGATAGGAAAAAATTTTTATATTTTCGAGTGTGACCCGATACGCGAGGAAATACGCATACGTGTATAGTTACCAACATTTTTTTTATGCTGCAAAAAAATAATCCTCAATATAAGAATTTTTTCCATCAGTGTACCACTATGGTATTACTTATATACATTTACCCCACTACTGTACTACATTCGACTCGAGCCCGAAGAGATGTATTGCAAGGAAAATGAATTACCGGTGAAGATTGCTCCGTCTCTCGGCGTGACTTATTGCCAATATTTCATAAAGCTCGGTTCAATTAAAATTTCGTTCCGGGTGTTATCCCCGTGGTTGGCATGAATGTTAATAAATTTGTGAAATTCTCAGGTTACGATGGCTAAATTGGGTGCTAATAAGTAGCGTTTGAAAGTTATATTATTTTCCTTGCAAGTGGTGGGCCGAGTGTAAATTTACACAATATGCGTGCAATTTTTCGAGCTTTAGCTACGCGTATTAAAAAATAATAATAATAGTAATTTGCTACGTTTAACTAGTTTAAATTATTCTCTCGACTAATCATTAACTTGGATGTACGTGTGAGTTAAAATATAGAACCGGAAAATCTTTTATTAAATTATCTTACTTGCAAACATATCTAACTCTAAAATGTAGTAATTGTAAAACATGCAGTGTCAATGTGAAAAAAAATGGGTTATCATTATCGCACCAAGTTTTTCCAGAGTTTTAAAGATAAAAAAACTGGGAAAACAAATAATGCAATGAATTTGATGTGATGAAGGCATACATACTTTGTTAAGTAGCTGAGAATCTGTTACTAGACAGAAAAAAAAAAAAGATAAATCACACGAGTACAATAGGTCAGAATAATAAAAATAATAAATTCAATTCTTTGTGTGGTGGACGGACGGAGAAAGCTTTGCTTGCAGTATATACAATGGTATACAGTTTATATGCATAAGGCGTGGATAAAAAAAAGCCAAGAGGATTTTGGCGGACGTTACATTGCAAAGAAAACCGGGTAGTCAGCGGCAAAGGGTCAAAGACGGAGGAGGATGAGAATGCATTGATTTTACCTTGTCTCGTTGGAGAAGCCGCGGATCCCTCATTGTGTAGCTCTGTACTTCTCGGGATAGCGAGCTGGCCGAGCTCCAGCGTGAGAGCTTTTTGGTTTACATTCATGTTCAATAAAAAAAAAAAAAAAAAAAAAAAAAAAATAAAGAAAAATAATCACATCTCGTAGTCAAATTTTCGCAGATGTCGTCGCTTACTTTATGTTTTATCACCTATTGTGTTGTCCTGTCGTTTTTAAAAACATTTTTTTTGGGTGTTTTAAACAGCTTTGGGTGTTTTAAATTCGTCCAAGGAAAATGTTTTACATTGTTTAAGAGAAAGGGTCAGCGAAATTCCTTCAAATCCACACCACACAAATTAATGCATTAACATACGCGTTAGAACTTGCATGCGCTTTTTGTATACTAGGGATAGTTACAAAAACATTTTTGTGTTTTTTTTTTTATGTCAACTAAAAATGTGAAAGGAACATTAGGGATCAACAGATATTCGTTTGTTTACAAAGAAAACTATGTAAGTATATAGTTTTTAGCCTTTGGTGCGTGTTTATTGAACTAGTTTGAAATAAAGCACAAAGCTAGCACAAATAACGATCAGATACTTATAAAAAAAAAATTTTCTACCTAGTGCAATGTTAGAAGAATAAGAAAATACATGCAAACGTGAAAAAATCATTTTACAACAAATTTTAATTAAATCAGAGAGATGTTAGTGGAATATTTTCAAAGTTTTTGTAAACTGTATATTTCCTTAAAAATGCTGTTCCAATGAATATTCAGTACTGAAAACAATAATTTACATCCACTAACAACTCAAAAAGATGTGCACAACAGAGACGTCTACGTATTAAAATTTTTTTCTCTTACTATTGGTAATAATTGTTATTTGGCTAGATCATTCTGCTTCCCCAACTGCTTGCAAATAGAAGACATGAAAAGAAAGGTGGATTATTTTTTTTAATGAAAATTAGAAACTCTTATTTTGATATTGTATTATTTTCATTATTCATTTGTACAATTATTAATCGACAGTTAATTTTATATTACACTTTTAGTTCAAATCAATCTAACTAAGAGTACATAAAGTCTTAAATGTACACATATGACACAATAATCTTTTTATACATTCTAGATAAATCATAATTAACTATTTAAAAATTTCTAATTTTAACTTACAATTCACCTACTTCTTTCATTCTCGTTTTTCCATGGTCTGACAATAATTCATGCAATGGAAAATATTCAACAAACAAAATTCTATCCAACAAAACATCACAAATTCAATGATTGAACACGTTACTCGTAGCATATTGAATGACAACACGATAATAAAAAAAATCATAATAGGAATGTACATGAAGAATGATGATGAAAAAAAAAAAAAAAAAAAAAAAAACTTGTGAAAAGTTAAGATACAGTAGACACATTAATTACATCTTGTTTTACTAAGCATCATACTATTTTCAAAGGCTTGAAACCCAAAGATTAAACAGTGAGTGAGATTTACATTTGGGGCCTTTGAATTAAAAGTCCGTCTCAATACCACCAATCGCTTTACGCGGGTTCATGTTTAAAATACAAACTAGAATAAAACGTACAAGAAAAATCATTAAAAATATTGGTTCTGGTGACAAAAAAAATAATCATGTCTACCATATTTGTAATGTTCACACCCAAAACAAAATACCAAAAAATAAAATCTACTACTATGTACGAAAACAGATGAAAAAAAAAAAAAAAAAAACATTAAAAACTGACTAACAAAAGAGCATTCAAAAATAAAAGATGTGAAAATGAACGTGATTTGTAAAAAGAGTGGGAAAATCTAAACTGTTGGTGATGTGACGTATATATATAAAAGTAACAGGATTGGCCGAGTGGTCATTTAAAAAACAAAAAACAAAAATCTTTCTCTTTACTAACTTACCCCGTGTGAGTTTTCGTTCGACTGCGGAATAACCGGCGCCGCTTGAGTTAAAAAGTCTGTAGGTGCATTTGGATCATTAACTGAAAAAAAATACAACAACTCAGTTACGATCGTTACGGGTGACGACTAAGATATTTATGTGTCAGCTAACAACAAAATAAAATCTCGACTCACCGGGTGCAGGGATGAACAGTTGCGGCGAGGAGGTAGCCATGGGCGCCGCGGGAGAGCCAACCGGCGTGGGCACGGTAAGCATGGGAGCGGCCGCACCGGGCTTGGTACTCCCAGGATTCATCACATCAACGTAGTTGGCGCGCATACTACGGTTCCTCGACATTTTGAACATGTTGGTACCACCAGCAGTTATCAGTTTCGAGGCATTCAGTGGAGGCTCGTTGGCGTGCTCGGACGTCGGAACCTCGGGAGCTGGGGGCTTCGGGCAAGGCGGCGCTACTGGAGCAGTGGAGAACGGCTTGAAGCCTGGGATCTCGGACATTTTCGGCGGAGGGGCAAGAGGAGCTGGGCCGTCGCCGTTCTCTTCCTCCTTATTCGTCCACCTATTTTTCACCGGGTCCCACACGATCTGCACACAAGATTTAAAAAATGGGACATCCAGTGGTTGATCAAATGAAAATTATTTCAGGAAAAAGCAAAACTGTGTGAAACAATTTCGATGCACACATGGATGCACATTTGCTTGCCACTCAGATGATAATTATAATGTGAGTATATTGTCGTGCTTCGAAATCAAGTTCTACTGTGTGTGTATGTATGCATATGCAAATAGGTACTGTGAAAAATAATGACACTTGGTAGGAGTAAAAAAAACGTTTTGTCGTTCTTGAGGAACCTTTGTTTTTCGGATTGTTAGAGGTTTTAGATAAAATTGTGGAAACATCAAAAAAGTCAGAATAATTGTTAGTAAGTTAAAAAAGACAAAATCAAGTAAAATTTATATTTTTTGCTTGATCAACGTACTGGCCTTGCTCCAATTCCAATAATTTGTTTACAACCGAGCTACCAATAGAATCCGCGTGAACCCTTAATCAAACAAAACATAAAACGTTCCTAGTACGCAAGTAGATGAAAATCGTCTAATCGTTATAAAAATTAAAAAAAAAAAAAAAAAAAAAAAAACCAATTCTGCACAAGTTGAAATAACAATGATGTTTTCTTCGTTTTTCAACTGCATAAGTACGTGTACAATGACTTGTGTCAAGCTACTTAAGACAAAACATTTCAGGGAAACAAGTCAAGCTCACCGAAGGATTGTTATCATCCGGCAGTATCATCTGGTTCTTGGGCTTGAGCGCGAATTTGCTGATAAGTCCACCGAACCACGAGCCGCCAGGGTTGTTCTTGCCCTTGTCCAATGATTTGTCCCCCGGCTTTTTCGCGTCGCTGCCGGTAGTCCCAGACTTGCTGCCAACGGGCAACGACTTGGACGGCTCCAGGGACTCGAGTTCCTCCAGTGGGTCGTACTGCTTGCCCCCGCTCGGGCCCAATGAAACGCTCGGCTGGTGGTGCTGCTGCGGCTACAAGCGAAGGGAGAAGATTGATCATCGCAAATTTGCTCTTGCAAAGTCCATCCTTGATTCCTGTCTAATGGGTCTACGAGTATTCAAGGCTGGGCAGTAATCAAGGAGACACTTTGCATGCTTCAAGCATAGGATTAATACTCTTAACTAGGGTTATTGGTTTTTTTTTCTCGATTTTTTACATGTAAGTGTTGGGAATATTTGTGTGCTTGTATGGTGAAAAAAAACGATTTCCTGACGTGTTTTCTTTTTGTTCAAGCAAAAGTAAAAGTCGATATTTTCAGTCATTTACGCTTTTATTTTTCATAGATATGATTTAACATTCGTAGCTTTCGTACATAAAATTGCGGATTGTAGACAAAATACCACAACGAAACGATGTGATCCCCATCAAAATGGTGCATGTGTGCAAACGCGACATCACGATTCGTATATTACCAAACATACCAAACAATTCAAGTCAAGAATAGACTTATTTTAAATAGTGTTATGTATCGCACATTCATAACAAAATCTTTAAAACAACGCATCAACAAAAGCCAAAAGAAGTAGACCGACTGGTCCTAGTACTTTGGTCCATCAGATTGACATTCAGAATACACGTATACATACGAGTGCGCAACACAGAACATAAAGCATAATTGGGCCCCTAATCGTGTAAAAAAAATCAGCGAGCCCATGGTCAGTGTATAGGACTTGTGATCATCGCGTTGTGATAAAACAGGGCCGCTTATTCCAAGCAAGTCGGCGCGTCAATGTCAAAAGTCTTGGCCACGTGTCGGACGGGTAAATTATTCGAATAGTCCTTTTGCAGTTGGCTCGCTGCCAATACCGAGCCCCCGGAGGCTGCGAAAGGCGCGTCGATGGGGTACGTGCCGCCAAAGACGAGAGGCCGATACCGCGGCCTGCCGGTACCGCGCTCGAGTTTCAAGTTCGTCGTTGCGTCGCTTTGCCTGCTCCAGGCGTCCACCGTGTCGCATATCACGTCCTTCCTGCGCACGTGCGGCGCCACCTTGACGATCTTCTTCTCGTCAAAATTACAGTATTGCCGCAGCGACTGCCCCCGGGCACTACTGGCCCTTTCTTCTGGTTTTTTGTACGGCAACGGACTGACGAGAGCGTCGTTGGGCTTCATCTCTTGGAACTGAATATCGAGATCCGTGGTCCTGCAGGTCTCATATTTCTTAGGTTCCCCCTTCTCCTCTGCCTCCAACCCGTCCGCAGGATTTTTTCCAGCTTCCGGGTGGACGTCTCGGCGTATCGACGTACATTTGAGAAACACCGGCAGCTGTGAGTTCTTCGATTTGGCCAGAAATTCTTCCTTTGACGAGACTCGATTTTTGGCGTTTGGCGCGATTAGCGGGTACGAAGCACTGACTCTTGGAAAATTGGACCGCTGCTGCTGCGTAGACAGAGTCTCGTTCAGCAGCTCCTCGGCTTGGATTAGGAGAGGCTGCTGGTTCGCAGAAGATACAGTTTCGGTGTTTGCGGACTTTTGGGGTCGACGACGCTGGCGCAGTAGCATTTCGCGACCAGATCTGTCCTCGGGACAGAGGAACTTGTTGGGAGTGCTTGTAATGTTTAGGTGGCGTGCATTACTACTTACTTCGGCTGTGCTCGGCTCATCCGCTGGCTTCGCCTTCGCCTTATCCGACTGCTCCGTTAAAAAATAAATTTTTTTTTTCGGCCAGCCACAGGACGCGTTAAAGAGAACAGAGGCGAGATATGTCTCATTAGTTTTTTTACTCGTGGTCCTTTATTTCTTTTTTTTTCTTTTTTTTTTTCTTTTTTTTTCTGGGATGCTTGCAAGGAGGTCTTCTTGCTTTAAATTGAATGCTTCTGTCATTGTTGTAAAGTTAGCCGAGTTTTTTTTCCAACTTTTTGCTTTGCTTTTTGTGTATTTGAACGGTAAAATGTGGATGTGTGAAAAAAAGTATAGTCTGTGCACATAAATCATTATATTACAGGTGATAGTAATGTATAAGCTTTCAATCGATGTATATTAAAAAAAAAAAAAGGTAAATCCATATTTGAGGAAAACCAGCCAAAACACCTGAAACCTTGATTATTGAGTTTTAAAAAATTTTTTTAGAACCCAAAGCCAGCGTGTCAGAACACCTCCTTGTTAGTAATTATGATAAGTACATCCCAAAAGTTTTCAATGAACTTACAAAGTAAAAATTTTCAGTGAATATTTTAATTAGTTTTTAAAATCCAACAACAAACTCAACGACTATTGCTCACAAACGGTCTGTACAGATTTTCGATTTTTAATTAGCGAAAGAAAGACAATCACGCGCAATTAAAGCTTTAACGTTACAAGTTAGCAAGCTTACAGCTAAAGTACATTATTTTTACGTACCTCATACGCCCACTTATTCTGATCCGTGATCTCTGCTTCTGACTGCTGAGTTGTCGTGTACTGTAGATTTGTGTAATCCTGCTGATCGTAAGTCAGTTGCTGCTGCTGCTGCTGCTGTTGTTGTTGGGCTGTCCAGTAATCTTGCTGATATGACTGGTAATTCTGCTGCGTTTCGTTAGCACTCTCGTTGTTGATGTTGTATTGAGACTCACCAGGAATACCATAATGATCCTGTAACGTGGAACTCGGAGGCTTTGGGTGCCAAGCCATGTGAGAATCCACGTCGGTGATACCCATTATCGAAGTTGCATTATTTTCTACAATGCTGTAGTCTGCATTTTGAACAGCGTCCCATTTATTTTGCTTGTGCTGATGAATTTCCATGGATTCAACGTTGGCTTCCGGGGAAAGAACATGGGGCACAGAAAAATTTTTCTCTTGGACAATCTCGCCTTTTTCGCACTTGCCGACTATCTCGGCAAGGCAGTTCAACCACGGTAGATTTGATGCGTCCTCATCGGAATCCTTGCAAACTGGATCGTGATACTTGAGCCGATCGCCGAGAACGTAGATGTCGTTGATGAAAGACTGCTTGTACTTTTCGGGCTCGTTGGCGATACTAGTTGCCACTTGTTCGATGTACAACAGAGCTTTTTCGACAAGTCCATAGTCCACCATTTTAAGGGCCAAGTTGAACTTGAACGTTTGCAGTTCGACAAGAGTGAAAGGCTCGCTGAGCTTACGTGCATACTCGTAGATTTCGGTCAGCATTATTGCTTCGGTGCTGATAAACTCGGGATAAGGTTTGAGATGATTGGCACCGATCAGAACAATCTTAACGTTGTTAGAGCCATAAGCTCCAAATTCGATTTGGGATAAAATGTAGCAAAAATGAGCAGCGTAAATGTCGCCACGGGTGGCGAGTGTATCACCAAGGCTAGAAATCGAACGGCGGTTGATGTCGGGATTCATTGACGTGTTTGATATGATCATGGCCAAATGGGGCCTCCAGTCGTCCCATTTTGCATCGGAAACACACTGAAAATTATAAGTTGTTAATTTTCAAAAGAAACCACAAATGAATAATAATGTAAAAATACCTACAGTTACACTTGCAGGTACACGACCAGAATGAAGCTGATACAAAGTTTGTAATGGATCTTGAGGCGGTAAACTGTTGGCAAAACGCGTCATTACGGATGCATGGGTGCGTTTGTCCAATTTGCTCGCTAAGAAAAGAGCATGACCCCAGAGACCCTCAGCCATTGCGAATTCTATGTAACAAGAATGATTGAAAATTGACACAACTGTACAAAATTACTCAAAGAAAAATTTTTAAGTATAAAAATATTTTACCCAAAGCTTCTTGCACCAGCCCATACAATAACGTCTTTCTAAATTCATCAGTCAACTGCTCAACAGTTTTATGTGGTGTCGTGCGATCCTCCGGCTCAAGCGATTGTACGGGTTCGGCAGCACTTTTTTCACCACCTGAAGCACCAGATCGCTGAGATATCGTGGATTCTCGACGAACGAGTTCTCTGATTGGTTTAATTGCTTCGTAAGGAAAAGCCTCCTTGTTTCTCAATAGCAAAGAAGCAATATCGACACCGACAACATTCTAAAATGGAATATTTTGTTAGTTATACAAATACCCAGACTGAATAATCAATCTTAAACATGACTAACCCCATTTTGCTGGATCAGCATTATCATCAACTCATACAGCAGCACGTATGACGAAACTTCGAAAATATCTTCGTTCGAGGGTGCTTTCTTTATTTTATTTTCGCAGTATTCAATGATGGTCTTCTTGTGTGTAACACCTCTGCAATAATGTAAAAAAATAGAATTAAGCCAACATTAATTACACATGAAAAATGAAGAAAATTGACTCACTTTATGAGAGGCCCAGGATAGCTTCGTAGTTCGTGCAACGTTTTATCATGCGGTAAGAAATGATCTAATTTTACAATATCTACTCTTGCCCTTTCTCCATCAGTTGGGTAACTTGCGTGGACGTGAATCAACGAACCAATTGAAAACGAGCCTAATTCAAAAGATTCGAATACAAATTGAATAATGCTCGCGCAACAGACCTTGGCAAACAAGCAACATACCTTTTGCATGGGATGTAGAGAATTTGGTTGGAGTCAATCTAGACGAAGCAGTCGTTTGATCTTCTAGCAAGGATACATCTGTCATATTTCGTTTTTCACTCGAATTTCTGTAAGTTTTAAAGCAGCTTTTAAAATTCACGTGACAAAAAAACATTAATTAACAATAAAAGATGTCTGCGAAAATGATAAATAACAAAGCACTTTCTAGCGTTCTACATTTTAACCTAAAATCACCTATTTAAATTTCGTGATAAAATATTTCGTCTCTGTAAGGGACTTTTGGCCCACCCTGCAGGGAAGCCAAAACACGGGACGTACATCGCTTTATTTGGCGAGCAGACGTGAACGTTTGAATTCATAAACATTCTGGCATGCAAATTAAATTATGGTATACTTATCAAGTATTCAAGTATATCAAGAAAAATATCAAGAGAGTAAGTATATATCTGACGCACTATTTTTTTGAAAATTATTGTTAGTTAAATATTCACCTGTCGTCACAAGAACTACGTCCAGAATGAACACTGGCTCTATCCTCGGGATAACTATTGTTTACTCCTCGAGCCAGTTGCTGCTGCTGCTGATAATATTTATGGTACCAATCGGCATAAGCAGCAGGATCTGTCCTACGCAGATTTTCAAGATACGCATAGTAATTACTATTGTACTGTGACCCATAATCATACCCTGGGTAATCTAAAATTAAGAAAATAAAGGTAGAATTTTTGGTAAAAAAAAAAAAAAAAAAAGTGTTTCAAAATCACACGTTATTACGTACTGTTATAGCCATAAGAAGCATATGGATCCCTCGACCGCATGTAATAATCCCTTTCTCTGTCGTTGTAAGATGATCTGCTGGATGGCCTTGAGCTATAAGATTTTATTTTTATTTAATATAATAAGCTCATAGCATTGATTTGACGTGCAAAAAAATATATGCTCACCTCCGCCCATAAGAATCATCGTAGTACTCTCTTCTATAAGCATCACGGGGATCTCTTGGATCGCGAGGATCACGCGGGTCACGCGGATCTCGCGGGTCTCGTGGATCGTACTCCGGATACCTGCGAGTTCTCCGATCATCGCGCCTCCTATCACGATCAAGATAGTCCCTAGGATACCGCGGATCATACTCCCTACCGTCTCGATCCAAACGCCTGGGATCAGCCGATCTGTCGCGTCTTCTCTCATCGCCACCACGTCTCCGTCCATCCCTATCGTCGATTTCATCCTTTACTCTAGCTCGTCTGTCAAGATCATCGCGATTATGGCGGTCTCTTTCACGATCGAGATCATCTCGACTATTATGTCGTCTATCATTTTCTCGATAAGAGCCGTCACGTCTATCGAGATCCTCGCGGGAGTTGTAAGATCGCTCGTAGTCAGCCCCACGCCGGCGATCGTAATAGTAATCTTCTTCGCAGTCGCGTTCTTGATCGTAGCTGAAAAATCAATGTATTTGGGTTCGATTGATTCTTAACTCAATAAACTTGCGAACAAAAAGTGAGTTCAAATTTAAGTCTTACTATGGAGGTTTCCTGTTGTAGTCGTAGCGAGGATGCCTAGGCTTAGGACTTGCTTCTCTGCGTCGGTCTCTGCTACCTTCTCTGCTGTTGCCTGAGCCCTCGTCATCGCCATCTTCATAGGAATCACGACGAATTTGCGGGCCCGTTTGGTTCTCAGCCACTGGAGCACCCACAGCTTCTTCCCGCTTGCTTCTACCGTCACTTGAAGCATCTTGTATCGGTGGCGAAGCGGTGGCCTGCTGTGACCCAGTCACGACTCTAGCTGTTGTAGCAACTGCTCGATCATCAGGCATAGTCGGTACGGACTCGTTAGAGGATGAACCGCCGGGTATCTGTCTGAGACCGCTATCAGGTTGCTGAACCGTGTCTTCGGGATCAGTACCTCTTCCCGGTATCTCTCTCACAGCCACGACCTCGGGCTGCTTAACTATAACTTGTACTGGAATGGTGCGCTGCTCTTCACCAGAGGGCTCGTTTCGAGGCTGCTGGGGTGGCGGTGGAGGCAAAGAACGTTCACGACCTGATGGATCATTTCGCCGTTCAACGGTATCCAACTCATTGCTGCGTTGCGCTGTAAGAGGTTGATGCTGTTGTTGCTGCTGCACAGGAGTAACACGCTCTTGGCCTGACGGCACATCCCTTCTGTCTAATGGTCTGTCGAGAACGCTGGTACGATTCTGTGCGAGCTGCTCTTGGCCCGAAGGATCATTGCGACGAGGATCGGGCAGGGGAGGTCGGAGCTGTGTGTACTGCTCTTGACCAGTGGGATCGTTTCGACGCGGATCCATACTCGACTGCCCGGGAACCTCGCGCGAAAATGGTATATCATTTGGCACTTCATCATTATCGTCGTCCTGGCTTGGCGGTATTGGCTCGTGCTCCTGTGAATGCGGGTCCGTCAGTTCTCCAGTCTCCAAAAAGGTGTTGCGATCATTGGACGCGAACTCGTAATTATCCGGCACCTGTTCCGTTGCCACAGACTGCTGGATTTGTTGAACCCCTGGTACTACTTCGACGTTGTTGATTTCTTGTCGGAAGTCGCGTACAACGCTCTCTCGCGACGTATTCATTTGTTTCAGCATCTGATCGTTGTCTAACGTTTCTTTGTTGATCGAATCACGAGATCCGTAAATATCTCTTTCTTGCGTTTCTGGGGCTACAACTTCCAAATTGACAAACTCAGCGGACTGCTGAATATTTTCGTAATTTTCAACATTTTGTTCGACAGGCCACTGTTGGGCGTGGTCGTTGGCAAAAAATTCAGTGTCTGGTTGTGTCCGCACGCTTTGCTTGTACCATTGGTCATAATTGGCCTGAGGAATCGTTTCTGATGATTTTGAGCTAATTGCCTGGTGTGTGTCAAACTGCTCCTGTGGGACAACAGGTGAACTTTCTATGCTATTCTGTTGAGTAAAAAAAAAAAAACGGATGTACAATATTAGATATACATAATCAATTAATTTATAACAGTGTTTTAATAATTTTAGTGGAATAGGATAAACTTACGTGCTCTTGAGATAAAACTGGTACATTTTCCAGTGTATTTGCAATACTGTCGGACTTTAGCCCCGATGTTGCTTGGCGACTCCAATCTGAACCAATATGCGCCGCAGACTGTTCTTCTTTGTGTAACGATGAATTATCAACGTGCTGATTAAATTTATTATTGAGACTTATATTGCTCACACCGCTAGATATTTCTGTAACGGTGTTCCAGTCTCCATCATTGTTCCAGTCAAGATCTACATTGCTCTGAGGAATAAAATTTTCTCCCACACTCGCTGTATTATTTTCTGCGCTGGCTTGGTTGGAGTTGGGAGTCTAAGAAAACCATTTTTCGTTCAGTTAAATTATCAAGTATTCAAGAATTACGCTTTATACGTTCAAGTGATAAAAATGATTACTTGAGACTGAAATTCATTTAATGAAGCGCAGCTCGTAGTGGGAGTCAGGGACCTCTTCCTATCTTCCAATTGCTCGGTGCTACTGGACATGTTGGCCAATGAACCCGAGGTCGTCGATGTTGTGGACGAATTAAAGTGCGACGGGAGCGCGTGAATCTGCTGCCATTCGCCTTTGTTATTTTCCGAGAGTGCCGACTCTTCCAACGAGCCACCTGGCTGCAACTTTGGCTGTCTCCACTGACTGTTTGGAATGTTACTTGCGGTGCCGACCTGCTGCCAAGACGACGCTGAATTGCTTTCTTCTTGAGACCATGTGTTTGAAGGCAGCGATTGCTGTCGGGGCAAAACGTTCGTGACATTCTCAGAATTGTTTTTCGTCCACCTGTTTGAGATCAGTGCGTTTGGCGGCAGCCAATTTTGCGTGGATGACGGGCTTTCACGCAATGATGATTCATGAGAAGTGTAATATTTGGCTTGCTCACTGTTATTAGTACTCGAGGGTGGATAAGCATTAGGAATTCTTTGCTGATTGAGATTGGTGAGAGCTGATTGCTGATTCTATTTACAAATTGTTTTGATTATTTGTTAATAAGCGACGTGACATAAGTTCAAAAACATGTAGGATACCAAACTAAAAATGATATACACTGGAAAGGACCATTAATATTTTACAATTCCAGCAATAAATCACTAGCAGTTTTGTATGCGTGTTTGTACTTGCGCTTCAAAAACGAATGTGTAAGTCTCTGTGTATTGATTACATACATATATATTTTGTGTAAAAATTGTTGTAAACTTGATGTTGATGAAAATGTATAATGAACAAAAAAGCAGTATTGAAGCAAAAATTGTTAAGAAAAAAAGCAAATATAAAAGAATTAAAAGTGTACAAAAACAAACATAATAGTATTGAATATATTTTTTAATTAAAGTAAATTGTGTTATCTCACATGTTTTCTCACTACTGTCAGAAAACGTATTGTGTTAAAGTTAAAGAAAACGTACCAATTGTGACCAAGAATTATTTTTGTTGTCCGGAAACTGCTCTTGTTTTGAAGGGCTGGGTTCTTGCCAGTAATTTTGCGTTGGAGTCTCTGTATGATTTTGCCAGTTGTGCATGGAAACATTTTGCTGATCCGTATTGCTCCAGTTGTAGTTGTTCACTGGAGGTACAGCAGGAGGCAAAGGAGTTGGATGTATTGGTGGTTTTTGATTGTGAACTTGACTTGGTGCAGCATATGGCAAGTTCTGATTTTGCTGCTCTGCAGACCACTGATGTTGATCTATGGGCCCCGAATAGGGTGCTGTGTTTGAACTAGGCCTGGGAGGAATAGGGAACTGTTGATTGTGATTATAGTTTGTGTACGGAGGAAAAGGATCAGTCTGCTTTTGAGTTGGTTCTCTAACTGGAGGAGCAATTCTCGGTGTTTCTCTGCCAGAGGGCCCATGCTGATTTAGAGGAGGCTGAGGAAGCCTGTTGTTGCCATTCAAAGTCTTGTAATAATTGTCTTGGCTCGGTGGCGATACAGGCTGCTTTTGATTAGGATACGGAGTAAACTGATTTATAGGTGGTGGCACTATTGTTTGCTGCTGTTGTGGTTGAGGTAGCGTAGGCTGATGGTGTTGTGCCTGTTGTTCAGCAGCTTGTTCGATGCTCCAATTCCAGGAGTCATTTCCATTATTCCCATTGTCAACGTTCCAATCCCAGGCATCGTTAGCTGCTGCCGATTTTGTTTGATTCATCAACAGAGGAGGAGCAGGAGGTTGCTGAAATACTGCATTATTATCGACACTGGGTGGCCTCGGAACAGAAGCGGGATTCCAAGATTTCTGGCTCTGTATTCCATATCCAGCTAGACTGGCATCTGCTCTTGCTCTAGTTGGCCTCACTCGATAGGGATTCTGCAGAAGCAAGATATTTATATCGAAAACACGCAAAAAAATACAAATTAAATTTTAAAGTATTAGGTAAAGTTATTTTAAAGAACTTACACTCATACTAATGTAGAAATATCACCTTTGCAAAGAAATTTTCGTAGAAAATCTGCAAAAAAGAAAAGTTAACACGTAATGAACAAGCTTCCATATTGGTAAATACTAAAAGATCTTAGGGGAAAAAAAAGAAAAAAAATTTTCGCCACTTTAAATAACTAATGGAAACAAATCTGGTGGACACATAAAGTCACGAATGACAAAGCACGTTTTACAAAAGACAAACCAGAGTAAAATGGATAGGTACTATAAGTATGTAAGCAAGCACAATGACGAACGGTCGGAGAAATATCAAAATAGAGCACTGCAGAGAAATAGACGTATATGCTCTTGTAGATACAAGGATGATGAACAACACATACTGAACGCGACGGTTGAATCGGGAGTTGTGTAGTAGTTACACCTATATCCTAAGCGATGGCTTTGTCAAAATTTTTGCTAATTATATAACGCACTAGGACCCGGGTGAGCTCGAAACTCGAACACTCGCGTCCTCGAGGTGTCCGTGATCCGGGTCAGAGTAGCAGCTAGTGCTCCGAAATGAGCAAAACTTCATGCCAGCTGTGACACGAAGGCCCGCACAACTCCCGTATGGAAGAGACAGCTCAGGCAATAAACAGACACGTAGACCGCACGATATACTTGAGTACTTAGTTAGCGAACGACAGCTATAAATTTCCCTCTCACTCGACTCGCATACTGTTTCTCGATATAAAAAAACAAGCGTGTGCGTATGCGTACTTATCATGTGTATCCCTGTACGACGTGTGATCGTGATGCAGTTTGCATTTGCAGCGAGAGAGAGAAAACTGTAGAAGAGAGTGCAATTGCAGGTTCGTGTTGTCTCTCACCTCTCAGCCTCTCACTCACCTCAGCACCCACTTTCGTACGAGAAATATATATGTGTATAGTTATTATACTAAATTCACTGGCAGTGCAAATAGTAGCATGTAGCTGTGTATATCAGGATCACTTTTTTATATATATTATACATGTAGGTATCCTTTCCTCTGTCTTTCTTTACTGTCAATGTCGGTTGGGCAACTCCAGGAGTTCGAACTTAAGATTGAAAAAAAAAACAGCTGCAACCGCCCTAACTAAAATTACTGAATAATTGGTTATCTATAAAGTCTGCAGTGGTGGAAAATCACGATAATGATAAACGAGGACCACGACTGGCACAACATTGAAAAAGTATGCTTATGAATGATTACCTACACATACACTTGTAACTAAAGTCGTATCACGGCAGTGTGGGTGTGGGCATGGGCAGCTTGAGTACTTGAGCAGCTCCGATCTCCGATCACTTTTAATCACCTCTGCTTAGGCTCGGTGACTCTTCATGTTTTGTACCTATATGTACAGGTATATACAGCGACACGCTGCACAATTACGAGTCACGAATCACGCATTCACATTTCACGTTCATGATTCGCACACTTGAATCACATAAAAAACTGACACCTGATTTATCTTTCTCTATCTTTCTCCCCTCTTCCTTTCTCGAATCAAAAGCCGAAAAATCGAAATGTCGAATTGTCGAACAGTAAAAATATACCCACTACCTACATGTAAATATGACAATGTATCGACGCCTCGTACGAAAACCAGCTCAGTTCAGATTTTTCAATGTTATTTTGAATGGGAAAATCTGAACTGGGCTGGTTTTCGTCCTTAAGAATGTTCCACTTGGATGAACGAACGGTTAATTTGAAATCTAGGGTATTTTTTAACCTCTGAATGACGTAAAGAGCACCAGTGACGTATATGTATTTATAAAAATTACATGTAATAAGAAATTAAGTACAATCTTGTAGTATTGCCTTTGTCACAATTACTGCATATAAAATCACTTCTACCAGAAGGCAGAGATATAGTGCCCTCACGCTGCCACCGTATAGGTATAGGCCCTCAATTAGTTCATTCCGTTTTCGTTTCTCGGAGGCTTCCAGAGTCTCTCCGAGTCTCACCGAGAATTGGCTTGAACAAACCTAGAGACACGACGCACGTCAGCACCTGACACTCCTGACAGCAGTTTTGGAGTTCGTAGAGTGTAGAGCTCCGTAACGGTTCGTAATTAATTATGTTCTTTGCCTAAAATTAAGTACTGATCTAAAATTCACGATTAAACGAGGTTTGAGTTACACCATCTATAATCTTAAGTACTTAAGTACGGCAGTGTGACCCTAATTTGTCAAACGTCAGCTGTTAATATTTTGGTGATAGCGGCGTGCTTGTAACTACAAATGTTAACAGCAACTTGTTGGTGAGACAGACAATTTCAAGATTGACAACTATAAAAGAAGGCAAATCGATAAACGACTGTGAAGATGATTCTGCTGACACTGATAGCCAGGGTGAGCGACGGCTTACCGCTGGCAGCTGCGATGCAAGAGGATGAGCAGGTTAGAATTCCAGCTGCCAAACGTTGGTGCTTTTTAATGATAATGATGATTATTATTAGGTATTACTATTAGTGCCTACTGCCCTCGAATATATTTTTACGAGTCTCCTGAGTACAATTGATGACTTATTTTTTATTTTATAATGTATATTTTTCTTGCTGATGAAAATAATTGCTCGGTTTCGTCATGAATTTTTAAAAAATTCACTTTTTCAATTTAAATAATGATTTTACAATTTTTTTGTAATCATTCAATTTCAGACGGGGCGAAGTATTTTGGAATATCAAAATCAAGCGAAAATGTTGTTCAGAAAATTAGGTCCACAGTCCCCTGCAACGTGTACCATCGAAACTGGACCATATTATTTTCAGTGAGTTTTAATATACTTAATTTTTTTAAATGCTATTACTAACATTTCATTTTGGTATTCCAGTTATCTCATAGATAATGACGTGTGTCATTTAGTCTTGTGTGAAAAGAATTTTGGCAAGCGTGCTGCATTCTCTTATTTAGAAGACATTGCGCAAGAATTTCATATTCAATATGGCAAAAAAGTTAATTCAGTAACGAGACCTTACACATTTATTGAATTTGGTAATTTTTTTAAACTTTCATTTTTTCTTTCTGTTTTTTTTTTTTAATTTTTTTTTTTTTATTAAAACGCACTTTCACTAATTACACCTATTATGCTTTGTATTATAGACACATATTTAAAAAAGGCGAAAAATACATTTTCTGACGGAAGAGCACGACGCAACATGAATGTATTGAATAATCAGCTTCAAGATGTTCAGAGAATCATGGTGCAAAACATTGATGATGTATTGCAAAGAGGAACAGTTCTTTCAGGTATAAAACTTTAAATTTTAGTTTAAATTAGTGGTTCTGATTGTCTTATATTAAATTCAATGTTAACTGATTCTTTTACAGAGTTAGATACAAAAGCACATGGTTTATTGACAATGTCTACCAAGTATCGAAAAGATGCAGCATATTTGAACTACAAATCTGTATACATTAAAGCGGTAGCTGGATTAGTTGCTTTTTCAGTCTTTGTTTTGTACTTTTTTATACTTTAGAAAAGTACAGAAACTTGCCAAGCAAGATATTATTTTGAAAGGAACTAGTTTTATAATCTTTAAATATTAATGTATTTTGAAAAAAAAATTTTGTTGGTCACTTATTCCGTTTATAATAAATTTATACAAATTTTTGTATACCCAACTATGTTTTTAAACAACTAATTATTTTTAATATGATATTGTCATTGTAAATGTTACTATAAGTATCTTATTTTTCAAATAATGTAAATCGTATGTCCACGTTTTTAGAGGTATGCAACTGAATTAAGAGGGATGTTGATTATGAATGTATTATAATGGAACCTATTGATGTTGAAATATTTATAAAAAGTTCGATCTTGTAGGTACGAAAAATAATGTATTTACAATAAAAGTTTATAAAAAACTATTCACGACATTGCTACTTCACCTGAATCATATGATTCAAAATTTTTCTTCTCATCATAACTACTAATTACATTATCATCGTCATCCTCGGAGTCTGAAATGTCAGCACTGAAAAAGCATTTTAATGAAGCGTCTATTTTTTCTTTATCAGCTTCGTTATTTTTAACTGTGTGGTTTCGAATGTTTTGTTTTATATTTTTCCTTTCCTTTTGTGACTCATCAGTTCTTTCAACTTCTTCATCTGAAAAAAAAGTTGCCAAATACACTTTACATTTTTATGCTAGTAAGTTTCAGTAAAAATAATCATTTTTGATCTCATTGCTTACCACTGTCTATAATTTCAAACATATCGGTATGATCTTTAAGTACAACATAAATGATAGGATATTCTATTATTGTTTTATTTTTCAAATTTTCTTGAATTGATTGTGTCAAGTCTAATTCATAAAACCTTAAAAAATATTATGGATTGAATCTTCAGCGAAAATAAAACTTTACAAAATATGGGCGATAACAAACCTGGAATCTGATTTCTCAACTTTTTCAGCTTTCAATAATACTTTAAGTCCACTCACTCCGCAAGAACGATAAAATTTCAATTTATCTTGCAGTACTGACAATTTCATTGATTCATCGTCATCCGATTTTTTATTGAAATCAGAATAAAAAATATCCTCTAACAACTCGGATAGCCTTGTTGTTTCTAGTGCCCTAAAATTTAATCATATGATAAAAGTACACCAAGAGACTTATTATTTGGCTAGATACTTACTTTTTTACAATCCATTTTATGTTTCCAGCTTGTGGAAAAATAAATTCTATTTTCCATGATAATAAATTTGTCTTCCACTTGTAGAACGTAGTATTTTCTTTGTGTCTACTGAAATTTTGCGGCATAAATTGCAAATTAATTCCTCGGTTATAAGCAGCCTTTTTTAATTTGATCAAGAACTTAAAATATAAATAATGAAAATTACTATTGTGCATAACTAGTTATGGACATTATAAAAAAAAAGTTAGCTAGTGTAATACAATGTTATGTACACTTACTACAGGCAACGCCTTGTTTTCTCTTGTAAAATTTTTCTGAGGATTACGCTGTAGCTTTTCAACCGATCGACCCAGATCCTCTAATAAGCGATAATCTAAAATTGAAGCATCAATTTCCCTAATTATTCATATTGGTATAATCAACTCGTTATAAGGCTATTGATAATTACCACTCAATAAATCTAAATCTGTGAATGAATGTACCGGTACGAACTTTATTTTGTCACGAATGCCATCGCATTCCAACTGTTCCTTATGAATGTTTACACATGCGAGTCCACAAGTTCTAACCTCGCATTTGGGGCACGTATATTTTGCCTTGACTGCAGCGCAAACTTCGCAAGTGTCAAGTCTAAAAAATTTTTAAATTCCATTATACCTTCTGTTTATCTAAATTTTTAAAGAAAATTAATGGCTATAATTTAACACAAATTTTTAATTCACGCACTTTTCAATAGAAGACTCCATGCCTCCTCGTCCTCGATTTCTTGTGATTTGTGATGTCAAAAAAAGCACACTCTGCGTAGCAGACGATAAATTATTTGTTCCAAATTAATTTGAAATTCGAGGCGTAAAATTGATCATAAACGTATTTACTCATTTAATTAACAAATATACTCTATTTTATATTTATTTTTGGGGACCATCCGTTAAATAATAAATAAATAAATATTTAGATATTGAATCTACAGCTCTCAATAATCATTCAAAAATCTGTAAAACATATTTTCGTTAAATGTATTAAAAAGATGTATTGACTAAATGATCACAATTTTTTCTCTACCATGTTTTAAAATTATATCTTACTTAATTGACTTTGAAATTATTCATACATTTCGTAAATTCAAACCATAAACTATACGAAACAAAGTTGAAACTGAGCTTTTCACAAATCAGTAAAAATTAAGTAATATTTTGAAAAACGCGCTACAAACAATTCAAAAATTTTTCTTCTGGGACTTGCGCAGTCATGCCATTTCATTGTAAACGTACCCCGCAGAGACGAAAGTGAAATGTGAATCAGACGACAGTTCACTTCATCCTACACTGACTGCACTCGGGTTTTTGGGGTGTAAAAAGGTATGTGACATATACACACATTACACATCATATCAGTCTATCAGTTCGGTGTTATTGCATAAAAAAAAAATATAAAAAACACAAGTGGTCTATTATTTCGATTCGGAAAGAGTGTAACAAGTATGTTTATGGTGCAACAACCATCAGAGAAAACAGCAGTCGTGTTTAGGTAAGGCCAACTTCCGTTTTCTGGCCGTCCCCGAAGCACCAGCTTTTAATACACGTAGCATCAGCGTCCATCAACTACCGTATCGAGAGCAGCAGCCAACGAGACAGTTTTGCTGTCTATATGGTCTTGGTGAACATCGCCGAACACCATGACGAGGACGACACCGATGGTTTTGGGCCTCCTGTGCCTCCTCGGCACAACAACGAGCTTTTACCTTCCTGGCTTGGCGCCGGTCAACTTCTGCAAGGAAGCCAAGAATACGTGCAAGGTATGTGTTGGCGTGTTATCTTTATCTAACCGTCGATTTTCCACTGAACATTAACATGCGCCTACACCGGGCAGGCACTCGACCTGTCTAATGCCATCCTAAACATATTTATCTACACCTACTACTCAATGTACATTGCCCTCAGAAATCAAATATTGTGCATACGTGTATTTATTTCGTGTATTCAGACAAAATCACAATTTCATTTTTTTCCAACATTATTATTTGTTTTATTTTTAGTAATACACATTATATGTATAATATTTTGTCATTATTATTACATTCCTGGCTTTGTGTGTGTTAAAATCTAAATATTGAATTTCTGTTATTGTGCAATAGCTTCTAAAACTACGTCTCATTACTTTTGATAACTCGATAATTTTACACCTATTTCAGTCTGATATTCGTCTGTACGTGAATCGCCTCAATTCGGAGCAGTCAGTTATTCCTTATGAATACCATCAGTACGTACAGAATAAAGTTGAAATTTGCGATTTTCAGATTGGGGTGTCAGTTAATTAATCAGATAATTTTTATTTTAGCTTCGACTTTTGTACTACCGATGAAGCTCACTCACCTTCCGAAAACTTGGGACAGGTTGTTTTTGGAGAGCGCATTCGGCCATCCCCCTATAAGGCAAGTGCTCAGGAATTTTTATAATTTACAACAGGTGTTTTATACTCAATTAATGTTGAATTAATTTTTTTAGTTGCAATTTTTAAAAGAAGAAAAGTGCGCAGTTGTTTGTCAAAAAAATTATACTATTGGAGCAGAGGAAAGTGAAAAGAAATTAAACCTTCTTAAGATGGGAATCAAACTTTCTTATCAACATCATTGGATTGTTGGTAAGACATTCTTATTTGATGAAAAATGTGGTTTTGAATACTCTTTTATCATTATCATGATGCTCTTAAATCAGAAATTTAATTTTATTAACTTTCTCAATATAAATATCTTAACTGACGAAAAAAATTTTTTTTCCAGACAATATGCCGGTGACCTGGTGTTATTCTGTAAAAGATGATTATCAATTTTGCAGCATTGGATTTCCCATGGGTTGTTATGTAAAAGATGAATGGGCCTCTTCAGATAGTTGCAGTATTGATGTAAGTTTACAAACATATTTTAACCTATTGAAGTTTACATGTGAAATTGTTTTAAAAACATTATTGTGTTTTTTACATTAGCCAAGCATTTATAACAAGCCTTCAACATACTACCTGTTCAATCATGTTGACTTGTTAATAACTTATCATAGTGGGGCAGAAGAAGACTGGGGACCCGCAGGAAGCAAAGAAAATATGGGACGTATTATATGTAAGTGAACTTTTTTGCAATTGATGGATACAATAATTACATTTTTAATTAAATTCTAAACTTTTTACAGCTATTAAAGTCACACCTCGTAGCATTAAGCATGATCCCAATGAAATTAATCATGATTGTGCAAGTAGAACACCACTTGAAATTCCGTCAGAAAAAGGTCGGAAATTTAATGTTGTATATACGTACAGTGTTCACTTCCTGGTAAAGTGGTACTCCTTGTGCTAAACATTTCCCACAGGTTATTTCAACTTAATCAATCATGTTTTTTTTATTTTCAGAAAAATAATACAAACAAGTGGTCATCAAGATGGGATTACATTTTAGAATCCATGCCACATACTAATATTCAGTGGTTCAGTATCCTTAATTCCTTAGTTATCGTGCTATTTTTATCTGGTATGGTGGCTATGATAATGCTAAGGACGTTGCACAAAGATATCGCTAGATACAATCAGGTATGTTATTAAATTTTACTTTTTGAGTTATTAAATAGTAAGAAATTGATTCTATTACCATATCTAAATCTTTCTTCTTGGAAAAATTTTCTCTTTTCAACTATCATCTTTTCATGGTGTATTGTGATAATGTAGTTTGAATGCGCTCCTAAAAAAAAAAAAAAAATACTATCACACTATTACACAATAACTTATGATAATAATTTTTCATTTTTTATGTACTAACTAAATTTAGTTAATTATACAGCTTATTCTAAAATTGTAATTTAGTATGACTTGGTATGTAACAATTGAATGAGCTGTGATAGTTTTTGTGTAAAACTGTGATTTTTTCACGTCTGTGTTATCATAACGCAGGCTTACTTTCAGATTGAATCAGGCGAAGATGCTCAAGAAGAGTTTGGATGGAAACTCGTACATGGCGATGTTTTTCGGCCACCACGAAAAGGAATGCTACTCTCCGTTTTCCTTGGTTCTGGCGTTCAAGTTTTTTTTATGTCTCTGGTTACTTTAGGTTTGTTTGCTCGATTTATGAATTTTCATGGCTAATTTTATTTAGCACCATGCCAATAATTGAGCTAAATCAATTATTTATATAAGTATTGCTATGATAAAAACTGTTTGTTTATCTAAGAACAACATTTCCAGCTTTTGCTTGTCTTGGCTTCCTCTCTCCAGCAAATAGAGGAGCTCTAATGACTTGTGCTATAGTTCTTTACGTATGTCTTGGGACAACTGCTGGCTATGTATCTGCTAGGATTTACAAAAGTTTTGGTGGAGAAAAATGGAAATCAAATGTCTTACTAACATCAATGTTGAGCCCAGGGTTTGTTTATATTAAATGACCCTACTTTTTTTTATTCTTAACATTTATTTATTTCCTTTAAAAATTTTCAGGATAATTTTTAGTTTGTTTTTTATTATGAATCTCATATTTTGGGTAAAAGGAAGCTCAGCTGCTGTACCTTTCGGTACCCTTGTGGCTATTTTATCTTTGTGGTTTGGTATATCTGTTCCTCTAACTTTTATTGGAGCATTCTTTGGTTTCAAAAAACGGGTAAGATCCACAGCAAAAAAAAATTCTAAAAAATCAGTGATCTTCATAAAAGTATATTTTAGGCTATCGAACATCCTGTTCGCACCAATCAGATCCCGAGACAAATACCAGAGCAGAGTTTTTACACGCAAGCTGTTCCTGGTGTCATCATGGGTGGTGTATTACCCTTTGGATGTATATTCATACAACTATTTTTTATACTCAATTCACTTTGGTAAATGACTCACAAATATTTACGTCACTTAGATATTTGTTGAAATCTTTNTCATAAACGTATTTACTCATTTAATTAACAAATATACTCTATTTTATATTTATTTTTGGGGACCATCCGTTAAATAATAAATAAATAAATATTTAGATATTGAATCTACAGCTCTCAATAATCATTCAAAAATCTGTAAAACATGTATTATTCTAGGTCCAGTCAAACGTATTACATGTTTGGATTTTTATTTTTGGTATTTTTGATTCTTGTCATTACCTGTTCGGAAACTACCATTCTCTTATGCTACTTCCATCTTTGTGCCGAGGTAAGTCTCATCAATTAATTATTTACGTGTTTAATAAAAATTCAAATAACACGACTTGATTTTTTAGGACTATCATTGGTGGTGGCGTAGTTTTCTTACATCTGGTTTCACCGCCTTTTATTTATTAGTTTATTGCATACACTATTTTGTGACCAAATTAAACATTGAAGACAATATTTCAACCTTTTTATATTTTGGCTACACCATGATTATGGTCTATTTATTCTTCCTTTTGACAGGTAAACCTCATTGAATTGTTAATGATGTATTGCTTTCAGACAGTACTATATTATCATGATTTATTTACAGGTTCCATTGGCTTTTTTGCCTGTTTCTGGTTTGTCCGAAAAATTTACAGTGTGGTTAAAGTTGACTAAGTTATTATTCTCAATGGTGGAATAAACTAAGAAATTTAGAATGATAATTCTAAATACGGTGTTTTAAAGCCATTGGAAGAAAAAAACCAAATCTAAAAAAAAATTTCTTACAACAGTTTGCTAACAATAAGGCATTCTTTGGAAAAAAAAAAAAAAAAAAAAAAAAAAAAAAAAAAAAAAAAAAAAAAAAAAAAAAAAAAAACGAATAAGACTATACAAATGAAGGAAGCGTTTGTCTTAAATTCTACTTTCGTAGGATAGGACAAGGCGATAAAATTAAAGTTGCTCCAGATGCTGCTGACCATCATTATTTATTGAAGTAAGCTTACATCATAATTTCTTCGTATGCTATTGACGAATAAATAAAATCTGTTAAAAACTGCACGCGTTATAATTAGTATTATTGGGTGTAATGGATTTATCTTGATATATTTGTAGACCCGAAGTTCAAAATATCAATAACAAAAAAATTAAGTATTTCCGAATTTTTATTGTCAATAAAATAATTGCTAAAACCTAGAATATACAAATTTCAATTTAAATATCTGAATGAAGATAATCACGTCTTCAAAATTTACGCATACGCGTATGTCAATATGTAAATGTTTTTATGCTTATAAAAAAATATTTTTGGTACTTCTCTACAGAATTTAATGGTCATTATATGTAGAATATTTTTTGAATTTTGAAAAGATATCAATCTATGATACTTGTCAGAAAAAATTAGCAAACGTTTCCTTCAAGCTTAAGTGTAACTTAAGATTTATATTCGCGAGTGTTGAGAGCTGCAAAATACAGCAGATTAGTATAGATGAAAAAAGTTTTTGGTTTAACATAGTAATCTTTTATTAATAATCGAAAGTGTTGTTACGTATATCAAGTGGTGTAAATTTCTATTTAAAAAATACAGGAGCATAGTGTTAAATATTTCTAGTATCTTAAGTTTTTAAAGTAAATTTATATATATTTGCCATAAGTTAAGCTATTCGTGGAAATATTTTTTTTCAATATTAATAGATTAATCTTTGTTAAATTTTTTTTTTTTTCTTTCCTATATTAAAACGCATCAAATGGAAGATTAAACGAGAGAAATTTAATACAGATGTCTTAACAAGTATGTGCAAAAAATTTTGGATAGTGAGAATATATCTTTGAATGATGACAGAGCAAGAGAAAACTAGAGTAAATAAAAAATCCTGTATATTAGCAGATAATCACTTGTAAAAGCAGTAGTCTTGTAATTTACTATAACAGTATCGACGTTTAACTCATTTCAAGTATCGTTGTGATTAATTAAACTGTAAGCGTTATTCATACGTGTTTATTGTTATCTCGAGCTACTTAATTCTTTGATGATTTGTAAGCTATTTATCTTCGAAAGATAAACTATTTTGTGATAAACATGGATACAGTAGCTTGAAATTTTTTTTGGTAAAGCCAGTCTATTACATTGAAATTAAATATAATTAAGCTAAAAATTAATCACTACAAAGATTATTATTTTATATATTCCAGTGTGCTCCGATAAATATAAATGTAGCAAATAACACATGTGAAGAGTGATGAGTGATGACCTAATAGTAAAATAGAATTTTTTATTAAATCAACGATTCTGCGTTCATTTCACTAATATCAATTCTTTGCGGACATAAACATAGAGCTGTAAATTTTTTATCTGAGATATAAAATGTATACAAAGAATAAAATTTTGTGTTTTCTATTTTTAAAACTGTCAAGAAAAATGCATGGTTATTATGAAATTTTTTCATTTCATTTATTAATAATTAATGAAAGCGAATACAGGTAAATGTTTAGTACTTTATATTTAAAAAACAAACATAATATAAGAAACTTTACAGTTTTATTTCTAGTACCATATGTACATTTGATTTTTTATTACCAAAAGAATTTCCTTATAAATTTGCAGTTTTTGATCTGAAACATTCTGCAACAAAAAATTTCCGTCATATATTTTCCTACATCAATTAATAATTAAATGTGTACACTAAGTATTTCAACATGTTCTTTTGCATAAAAAATTTTTTTTTTATCATTTTTGGATTTAACTCGCATTGCTTTTATGTTCCATAATTTTCACATTGGGTATTACCCTCACTTCAAGACTATAGTTAAAATGTTTTTTAGAATCGATATATACTTGCGTGCAAAAAGTGAAAAAAAAATTTATATTGGATGAATTACTTGATTAATTACTTCTAGAAGCACGATTAAAAATTGACACCTCTGTTGTGGATAAAAAAAATTTGTTGACCTGTAAGAAGTTTGGCTAATACAGTGGAAATAAGGAAAAAAAGGACCAAAGTTGGATCGGAAGGATTCAATTTCGACTCACAATATTTTTTTTCACTGAAAAATTGTAAATAAAATGTTTTTACGAAAAGTAAATCATATTTGTATCTTATTTCATAAAAAATAATAAAAGTATGTAATATTTCGCAGAAATTATAAATAAATGTATCGATTTTTTAACTATATATATATATTAAATAAAAAAAAAATAAAAGAAAATATGTATATTTAAGTGGAAAAACATTTAAATCGCGATACGAATATGAAATTGTACACTATTTGCATTGATCACAAGAATGTGCCGAAAACTCGTTGATCAGTTTAATCAGAAGGAAAATTGATAGGTTCATGAGGAAAATACTAAAGGATTTATTTTCTTGGACTACGGCGACGCCGTATGGCTCCTCGACTCCGACCTCGTTCGGCTCGTCTTATTTCTTCTAATCGACGTGCATGTTCAGCCATATGTTGCCTCCTTATTTCTTCTTTAACCGCAATCTAGTGATTAAACATGTTCGATCAGATACACTTTTCTGTATGAGGTCTTGTTAGAAAATCATTAGCGTGATTACTTTTTTACCTGTTCATTGGTCAATGGTAGCCAATATATACATGGAGTAGCCTTGGTTTTCCTGAAGAGATCATCTAACAACTTCGCTGTGGGTGGTTCCTCTTCTTTCTTCTTAAATTTCCTGGCTGGTGCTGGAAGACGAACTTCAAGTACTGGGCTTCTACTTCGATGTCTTTTTTTCTTTTCAAGTTCTTTTTTTTCTCGTTCTTTCTCTTTCACTTGCAAGTGACCGTCTTCTTTACCCAAGTCCCATTCACGGATTACTGTTATCTGAAATCAAGAGCAAACGTTTACTTATTATTGTAGTTTTGTTGACTTGTGATAAAAATATTTGTTACATCGAAAATACCTTGTTAAAATTAGGTCGCTCATCACGTCCCCAGCTCTCCTGTTGCCATAAATCAGCAGAAGCTAAAATATCTGCTTTTTTGGGAGCAGGCTGTTCTTTAGATGATTCCCAAGCACGTTCCATGTCTTCTTTAGTTGCGTATTCTACGATAAGCTTTTTCGGATTTGATACGGGCCAAGAAACACCATGCAATGCTTGTCTAGTTTCAAAAGCTTGATCCTCGTTGGCATACTAAAATAGTACATATTTTTTAGTAATTAAGTAATTGACATACTTGTGCACATTAATTTTTTTTTTTTTTTTTTTTAATACCTGAACAAAACATTTAGATTTGATTCTGTCCATCCAAAAACCATTTTCCACGATCGTGCCAGTACGAGCTAAAAGTTCTTTGATTTGATTCAGTGTAAATGGACGAACCAAGTTTCTTATTAATAAAATATTTGTTGCTTGGGCTTCTGGTGGACTAGGAGACTTTGGTCTTGGAGTTTCTTTAACAAGAGTTATTTTTCGTCGTGATCCTAAAATAAATATTGGAATATTTATTGTACGAAATTTGTGAAAATGAAGAAAAAACATTTCAAATATGTTTACCTGTGTGATTATCCGTTTTAGCTTCACTTTTTTTAACTACCTCATTTTTTAAAGCTGCACCGCTTTTTGATTCACTACCTCCAGAACTTTTGCTTCTACGTTTTCGCTGTTCTTTTTCGTCATCTTCATCCTTTGTAAGTTTTACTTCATTCGCAGGTACAGGTTTTGCACCTGGCACTATGGCCTATAAAAAAAAATGGATAAGTAAAGAAAAATTATAACAATTTATTATTTGTCCTTAATTCAAAAATAAAATAAATACTGCATACTTTTAAAGAATCTGTAGATATTGAAAATGCTGGTGCAACATCTGTAGTTGCGGTGCTACCCCAACGTCGTCTTTTTGTTAGACACTTTTGATCAGGTTGTTCATTATCAGCATGATTTTCCTACATAAGAAAATTAAGAATATTCAAGTTACTGTTGAAAAATATGTTGATGAACATAAATATTATACTTATTCCTTTTGACATACCTTATTTGGATTTGATTCATTTACGGTACTTTTATCCGTGCTTTCTTCTTTTTTGGTTTCTGTATCTGTCGATAACCGATTGGAGCTTTAAAATAATATAGACGTTAAAATTTTTATTGATTGTTGTTTTAGGTTGTTCGTAATTAACTTGAAAAGTATGAAATCAATAAATACTTACAATGACCTCTTTAAACTGACTTTGGTTGGTTTTGAAGATAAAGTTACATTCAAGTCATCTGATTTTTCATTGATTTCAAGTATATCTTCTTTCTCAATGGTATTGTCTAAAAGGTCCATTTCTGAAACTGTAGATAAAGAATTTCCTTTCGATTTAAATGATCGACTTTTCCTATGTTCACGTTTTGTTTCTTCTTTTGAATTTTTTACATTTTGTAAATCAGCATCTTTTCTTTTAGCCTTTGTTGTTCTTTTTTCATCTCCTGATTCAGAAGATTCATGATATTTGCTGTGTTTCCTACGTGACGAATGTGTTTCTTGTGAAGACTCTTTATTATGAACGTTTGTTAATGATTCTTTCGAATTTTTTGTAGAAATAGAGTTAGAACTAGGCTCCTCTTTTTCCACTACATCTCTTATCTCCCCTTCTTCTTCTTCTTCCTCTTCTTCGTTATTAACTGATTTTTTGTGATTTTCTGCAAAATCAGTGTCATTTGTTTCATTGTTGCTAGCCACAATTTCTAAGTTAATTTCATCATTAACAGAAACATTTTCTGGAGTTGAATCCTCTTTCGGAGGTAATTCCTCTTTTCCATCATCTTTCACGTTTGTATCCTGATTAGTTTGTATTTGTTGTTCTGTAGGAATTACTTCATTAGTGTTTTCGTTATTTGTGTTAATACACTCGTCGTTTACACTGGAGTTAGCCTCAACTGACTCAGTAGGTTCTACAGAAGCGTTCGGATCAAAACAAGATGGTTGATTGGAGTTTTCCTGATAGTCGTTTGTTTGATTGATGGGCAAATTTTCTGAAGAAAGCTCTGCAACACTATCCCCGCTGCACGTTGGTTGATTTGAATCTTCATTGACAGGTACCTTTGCTGGACTTGAAGACGACTTAGCCTCATTGATTGATGCTTCAGCAAAGTTTGTGGAAGTAGTTTCTTGCGGGTTCTCCTCGAAATCTGCTTGCTGATCTATGTTTTTTTTATCGTCAGACAAGTTGGCTGAAGTGGTTTCAGGCAGGTTCTCCTTGTAATCACTTACCTCTTCGCTGAAATCCTGACCTGGGTGCGAAGAGAAGGGATCCTCGGTCTGTTCGTTGGCTGGCATCTGAGAAGATGCAACCAACTCATCGACCGATTCAGCCTCCTCCGAGCCTCCATCGCCACTGTCTGGCCACTTGTTTGACTTTCTCTTACTTGTAGAACTATCTGACGCTTCTGAAGTGTTGCGCTGCCTACAGAGCTTGAGCTTTTGTATTTCTCCAGGTGAAGCATCTGCCCTTGCAACTTTCCACACAGATCCGCTATCCTCTTCGTCTCCTCCTAGTACAGTTTTGATGAGTCCAGTTGAAGAAACGTCCTTTTCCAAATTTTCACTTTCATTCTCTCCTTCAGCTTGAAATTGTGAATTAGAATCCTTGTCGTCCTCTGAGTATGGAGTACTTGACACGTTGTCCTCTGCAATATCTCTTTCTGGCGAAGTCGACGGCGACGCTTTGCCCCTGCGGCGAGTTATCCTTCTCGTTGGCTTTTCCACTTTTGTGTCTGAAGAACCCTTGGCCTTGTTCCTCTCGCTCTTGCGCCTCATGGCTAAAAATTTTTTAAAAATAATTAATTTCAAGTATTTGACTAAAACCAATACACGAGAGAACACATCAGTCACTCTCAGTTACCACCCACGCGTCGTGGCGTATATAGACTAATTAAATAATGTATTATTAGCCGGAATATTCACCGTGTATTATTGGTTATCATTATATAATGACTGTATTATATTGCATGAACGTGTACAATTTACAAATGGATGCAGTACATTTTCAGGCTGCACATAAGCTGCTTATACTTGTGAAAAAAAGTTATCTGTTTGAACGTGAGGTTAATGGAATCACGCAATGTGTTGGAGGTAGCAAAGAAAACACGATTTTGAATACGTAGACAGCCAAGGACCAGATAATACAATTGCGTACGGCGACAGCAACACAACGACGGATTCATTTTACTTATAAGTATAGGTTCTCTTGAGCATCGCGCTCGCGCCTACATATATATTTTTTAACGCGCGGGTGGTAGATAAATATAGGTACTGCACGCGAGAGCGAGCGACTCGACTTACCTCTGTGACAAAATCCTCAGAAGATCCAAGTTTCAGTGTCAATCTTTGAGTATAGCTTGTAAAGGCTTGAGCGATTTTCTCTCATGAAATAAACTGCGCCAAGACTATTCAAAACCAATGAATGACGCTATCCTTAACGAGGATGTAGACCACCACAGCTTTGGTACCCCACACCGCCCTGATGTGTGCACCGTTCCACAAAATTATTTTTCTCTCTCTCTCTCTCTCCTCTCCCTCCCTCTCTCTCTGGTGTGTCGTGTGTGTGCTTGATACTTGAATCACGAACGACGAATGTTGCTCCGAACAGCAGCCGTATACACAAGCTCGATACGCCGGCAGCAGTAACGCCACCTCGGCAGTCTCGACACGTAACCGCTCCTCATACAAGTGTTTTATATAGATATGACGACTGCAACCTTACCTGAACATAAAAATATATAGAGTGCAGAAGCTGTGTATAGTAGTTTAGAAGATAAAGCATTTGGAAATATAATTGATTTTTAACGCGTTAAGTATCGAAGTAACTGGTTATGAATGTATGCATGGTAATGCTCAGTAAGCCTTGCACGCTGGTACGTTGTTGCTTACGTTGGTCAAGTACTTATAAAAGACAAACCCCCGCAGAGTATTGTTTGAACTTGGTTAAGTAAGTAATGGTGAAAAATTATGGGAGAAAATAATATACAATAAGTTTTTACTGTATGTGTTTACAGAAAAAATGATTATGAAAGTTTTCTTTGTACACTACTTTTGCCCAATAACGTGAGGTCATCAGCTTTTGCAATAAGAGCTTTCAATACAGAAATCGCTTTGGTGGAAGATCAAGTTAAGGATGATCAAATCGGGTTGATGAGACTTAAGTTTTGGGAGGAAACTCTAAATAAAACGTACGATGGCAAACCACCAAAAAATCCAACACATTTAGAACTACATAGAGTATGTGCACATATCTTAAAAGAATACTATTTAAATGCTTGTGATTGAATCTCGTTTTTTTTTAAATTCTGTATTTTTCAACAGGTACTTCAAGAAAATAAATTATCCAAACATTACTTCAAAAGGCTTATTGAAGCACGTTTCAATCAACTAAGCAATTCGATTTTCATAAATTTAGAATCTTTAGAAAAGTACGCTGAGAATACAGTTTCTTCGGTGTACTATTTAATTTTGGAGGCACAGGGAACAAAGGACGTGCACACAGACCATTACGCTAGTCACCTAGGTAAAGCTCATGGGATAGTTACTTTAATTCGCTCTGTCCCATACAACGCGCAAAAAAGAAAAATGGTTCTGCCACAAGATATACTTATGAAACATAACGTCTCCTCTGAATCAATATTTCAAGGAAAAAGCACCAAAGAATTGAGGGATGTGGTGTATGATGTCTCATGTAGAGCCAAACAACATTTTGACAAGGTGAGTAAATAATTCGTTTATGATCTGATTATACTTCCTGATAAATAAAAGCGTATTTCTCTCTTCAGGCATTGTCAATGAAGAAACAAATAAAAAAGGAGTCGCGCATAATTTTTTTGTCGTCCACAATAGTCGGGAATTATCTTGAAAAATTGCAAAGGGCTGATTTTGACATTTTTGATCCCAAATTAAGCAAAAGAAACAATGTGCTTCCCCTTCAACTCTATTGGAATAAACTGTTGAATAAGTAATAGATATAATAAAAAAATATTATGTACATAAAAATACAGACTTTTGTGGTATAAAACGAAAAAAAAAAAAAAAAAATCAAAATTAAATTACACGCGCAGCAAAAGCAAAACAAAAAAAACGAAGCGCTCGAGTCGCATCTACGTACATCAAGTGTTTCATGGCGTTGAGTCGGCCAAGTTAACCTTTAAAGCTGAATTGTATATATTTAAATTAGGAAAATATTAAACACATGCAGGTATTACGTTGTTAATTGCACGAAATGCATATTAAATGACATATAAACATTGCTCGAGCGGCCCTAACCACGATCAATTGCTTGTGACCTTGCGAGTACCAAGGCCGTAAGAAAACGGACGAAAGAAAGTTCGTGTCCTCTAGGGCGTTGGGTGCACATACATAAGTAACGGGGGAGAGAAAGAGATTACGCGTCGAGGGACCTCAGGAGAGTCAAGGCAGAAAGAGAGGACCGCGGAGAGGAGTTGAAACTGTTGAAAGGAGGGAATTTATGTAAATGCACGAGCTTATGTTCACCAGACAGAGGTTGTAAGTACAACAACATAGCGAGATCATCCATCGACACATCTGCAGTCATGGCGGATGTTAGGCTGTACGACTCGACAATTTGCCGTTTGTGCGCGGAGGACAACGACAACGGTGAAATGTTATTTACCGATGATTCCGAGGAGACGGAGCTGAGTGCGATGGTCAATCGTTATCTGCCGCTCAAGGTACAACACTGCCCGCAATAATCCTTGACTTGACGTATTGTAGGTACACTTGGAAGGCCGGGATTCAAATGATACATGCACGCCCAAATCCACCGACGCGAGACTTCAATTTGACTTGTTCCCTTTATATGCTTCTCTTGCCGCATGCACCAACTGGCACAATGTACTTGCTTTCTCTCTCTTTCTGCGCTATACTGCTGCCCTTATCCGACCAATATGGTAGATAATGGTATAGCTCTACTGATTTTAGCTTGTTTTTTCGTTTTATTGCAGCGAATCAAGCCAAATCGTATGCTTATGTTATGCATACACCTACTACATGGATCAAATCACATTTTTCATGGCGCCTATAAACACCGCAATTTGCGGCGGGTAGTTTATACATTTCATTTGCTCTCAATTGTGTGATGACAAAAACGCATCATGCGTCGCATTTTTTATTTTTTTTATTTGTTTTTTAATTTCTTTTACATACACTATACATTCATAGATATACACACTTTTTCAGCTTCTTTACTTTAAAAATAATCAAATGACCATTCAATGTGATATTGTTACATTCACTGCTATGATTTGTTTATTTATTTATTCGATTTTTATGTAAATTATTTAAGACCAATTACAGTAAATGATTTTTTTTATGAGAGAAAGATGAATACATTTTATAAAAAAAAATTTCAGATTCATGATGATGGAAAACTACCTAGAACTATTTGTCCTGGATGTAACATTCAATTGGAAGCTACTGTTGAATTTTTTCAGTTGCTCATCAACGGACAGCAAAAAATTAGACAACTGTGGAAAGAACAACTTAAACTAGAACGTCAAACGGAAAAAATGTATTTAGAGCACAAAAGTATTGATATCCCCCTATTCAATGATACGGAATTAATCAAAGAAAATTTCGTAATTGGGGCAAATGATCAACAACTTGTATTTAATAGTAATAATACTATTTTATTATACACATTTATATTATTGACAAAAGCTAATAAATATGTATTTTCAGTTATTCCTGAAGCATCGGTTTATGGTGCTAAACATGATTTGAGTCTCCAAATGGAAGGATTACACAAATCAAAAAAGAAGAGAGGTCGACCACCAAAATGTTTTTCAGAAGTAATTAATTTTTCGCATTAACCGTGTCACGTATAATATTTTTATTATAATTATCTGTAAACTGCTTGTTGATATTTAATAGGATGTTGAAAAAGATATTAGAAATGAAAAAACGAGTCAGGAAGAGTATAAACGGGATGAAGAAGAATTAGATGGCGACAAAAGAGGAAGAAGAAAAATAAAAGTTCCTAAAAGGTGATTAAAACCCACTTATGAGAGATTTGTGCAACAGTTTTATAATGATTGAGTTTATCTTATCTTTAGGTATATGGAAACAATACAAGGTAAAGAATTGGAAAAAGTATTAAAAGAAGAAGGTGTTTTCGACGAAAAAACTCGTCTAAAATGTGAACCTTTTGGAAATCTCGACAATTTTCAAGCTGATAGTTTCAACAGTGATACAGGTATTACTGTATGAGAATAACGTTAATACTTTTTATTTTAAACAGACATGTAACTTTTTTTTAGATGTAATTGGACATTTGATAACTCCAAACGGAAAAAATTTAAATGAACCTGTTACCAATAAAAACCGTAATCGGGTAAATCAGCAAAAATCAAAAACATCGAAGAAAAGACACAAGTTTACGTGCTCTTTTTGTGGGAAAGACTTTTTGCAGCGTAGTAAATATATTATTCATAAAAGCCTCCACAAAGCCATTATATTTGAATGCTTTGATTGTCAAAACCAATTTTCCAACAAAGAAGACTTACTCTTACATCAAAAAGCAACAGGTCACAATGGAGAAAAACTAGTTGAAGAAAATGAAACACCACAAAATTCTCAATGTGATCTAATTAAAGAGTCCAATGCTGTAGAATCAGAAAATAACATTGCTGTGATTACTATGGACTGCCCAACTGATAATCCTAGTTTTTTATTCATAAAAGAAGATCACGAATTAAATGATATTGACACTGAACAGCAAAATACTGAGTATGAATCGATAGAAGAATTGAATAGTAAAACTGATGTATTCAGGTGTGATAAATGTAATAAGCATTTTGATACCAAAAATAATCTAGATACACATGTCAAGGTAGTACATCAAGGAGAAAAACCTTATGTATGTGAATTGTGTAATAAAGCCTTTGCTTATCAGACAAGCTTGCAAGGACACATAGAAATAGAACATTCGGTAACAAAGTATTTTTTTGAATATATTAAGTACTAGTTATTATTTTTTTTTAAATTAAAACTGTATTAATAATTGAAAAATTTACAACACTAGGTTAATTCCGACAAGGGCTTTCCTTGTGACATATGTGGAAAAATTTTGAATCATCCAAGTTCTATAACGTATCACAAGTTGACGGAGCATAATGATGGACGTTTGTACGAATGTAATAAGTGTACAAAACGATTCAAGCACAAGCAGCTTTTGCAAAGGCATCAAATTGTTCACTCAGAAGATAGACCGTACCCATGTGGGTCTTGTACTGCTTCTTTCAAAACAAAAGCAAATTTATTAAATCATCAATCTACCCACACCGGAGAAAAAAAACATTGCTGTGAACTGTGCAATATGAAATTTGCTCACAAAACTAGTCTTACCTTGCATTATAGGTAATTTCATTTTATTTATACCCAAAGCTGATACCATTGCAAAAATTATGATCATTTTTTTTCTCACCCGCAGGACGCATACTGGCCAAAAACCGTATAAATGTGAAGTATGCACAAAAAGTTTTTCACAAAACGGTAATTTGCAAGAGCACATGCGAATTCATACTGGAGAAAAGCCGTATTGCTGTGATCACTGCGGACGTAAATTTACAACGTCTTCGCAATTTAAATTGCATGTAAAGCGACACACTGGCGAACGCCCATGGAAATGTGATTACTGTCCAAAATCATTTTTGCACAAAGATACGTGGAAGTGTCACGTGCGTCGACACACTGGTGAACGTCCTTTCGAATGTGAACATTGTCAACGAAAATTCACTGAACAGTGGGCATTAAAAAAACACTTGCGCTTACATACAGGTAAAAATTAGAGAGTAAAAAGTACATACTCTTTTTTTTAAATTTATTTAGCATCTGAACTTGTTTTTATTTTTTAGGAGAAAAACCATATAGATGTGAATTTTGTGGAAAAGCATTCGCCGATTGCTCAAATTTAACGAAACATAAAAAGGTATATTTTGTAGTAAAAATTATTTATAAATTAAAATTTTGCATTCAATTCTTACGTTATCTTATTCTGTCCGTTTATGTCGGTAGGTTCATAAAAATCAGCAAACAAGAGAACCCAATGAAACAGTGAATTCAGCTGGCACGGAAAATAATTTATGGCCTATTTCACGAGATTCTATAGAAGAAAATATGATAAATGTATCACCAGAACACGAGATTTCCGAAGGCGATACGTCGCGAAATATTTATCTCACCTATCCAAATCCAAGTAATCCTACTGAATCAGTAACATTAAAAATTAGTAAGCTAATTTTCATATTATTACAAGTAAATCTAAATCCATATAAATTTTAATTTTTTTCAACCTTTTTTCAGGCAAAGATAATTTAATAGCCGATGAATCGTCAAGTTCAGACGAAATGGAAAACGATAATGTAGATGGTACTGATGACAATAATTTTCAACTTTCGGTATGTGTTTATTTTTTAATTGAGAACATAATTCATAAGAATATAACTAAAAAGTTTTAAAGACTCGGATTAATAGAATATAATTTAAGATATTGGATACTGATGGCAATCCAATACGATTATCAGTAGAACAAGCGCGGCAGTTACTATCTGATGGACATTTTCTCAATCAAACAAGCAACGACACCAACCAAGCTCAAATTTTATCCGCAGTGTTGCAAAATAACATAAAAGTTGATAATTCATCAGATACTGACCAAGATGGTGCTATTCCAAAAGTACAAATAGGGTCAGCACTTCAAAGCGATGCTGAAGCCATAGTTAAAATGTTACAGGTATGATAATAAAAGATAGTTTGCGAATTACTTAAAAAAAAAAAAAAAAAAACTTGCATTGTATCTTTTATAGAATGAAACTACTGATGCTACAACTGCATCAATTAATCAAATAAACACTGAGGAACAGGTGGAATTGTCTGATCAGCAAGTTTTCCAATTAATCATTCCTGACGGTCAAAAATTACAACTTTTAAAAGTAGATCCTTTACAGCTATCTTCAGGATTATTGACTATTGTATAAATATAAAAGATTTATACTTAAGACTTGTGACACTTAAATGTTTTTCAAACGTTGTTTCGGTTAAATTTTTTTTTTTAAGTAATAAAAAAAATTATCTTAAGCGCATAATAACGTTAATACTTTTTATTTTAAACAGACATGTAACTTTTTTTTAGATGTAATTGGACATTTGATAACTCCAAACGGAAAAAATTTAAATGAACCTGTTACCAATAAAAACCGTAATCGGGTAAATCAGCAAAAATCAAAAACATCGAAGAAAAGACACAAGTTTACGTGCTCTTTTTGTGGGAAAGACTTTTTGCAGCGTAGTAAATATATTATTCATAAAAGCCTCCACAAAGCCATTATATTTGAATGCTTTGATTGTCAAAACCAATTTTCCAACAAAGAAGACTTACTCTTACATCAAAAAGCAACAGGTCACAATGGAGAAAAACTAGTTGAAGAAAATGAAACACCACAAAATTCTCAATGTGATCTAATTAAAGAGTCCAATGCTGTAGAATCAGAAAATAACATTGCTGTGATTACTANCAAAAAAATGTAAATATAAATTTACACGATACATCATATGAGAAATTATCTGGCACTTTTAAATGGCAACGTAATAAATTAGAAATTAATAATAATTAATTAATTTTAATAAATTAAAATTTTTACCACAGAATAAGTTCAAATAAGTATTGTTAAAAGTCAATTTATTATGAGGCGTTGGATAAAATAAATATGTGAAAATGATTTCATGGCAAACCTTCATAACCTGCCTACACTTCTGCCTACAAATTATGATACTTATATTGAGAGATAGTATATAAAAAATTAGGCGATTCACAAGTATGGCTTATTATAAAATATCCTCATTTCCTCCACATCTCATTCTCAACGTCTGCTAAATACTTTTATGACAATTGAAATACATCAGCCAATAAGTGTGTATAGAATTTTCCCATCAATTTTTCTATGCATACTATTTGATGCTTAGAACATTTTGATGCATGATTATTTGGAAAGTAAGCATAAACTCTAACACAATCAGGTTACTGCAAAATTGACAAAATATTTACAATAATCATAAAATTAATTTGCGTCACTTACAAAAGGAAAATCTCAAACTTAGCTTGAATTGTTCAGGGTTACATTTTGAGTAAAATCATATTCAATTGTTGGTATAACAGACTGTACGAACTTTAAAAATATAATGAGATACATGTGAACTCCCAATTCCCTACCTCCTTCCATTACAGTTTCTATAATTTTTTTCATCACTTCTGCGTGTCTGGAAGAATACGACTTCATGTGATTGGTAACTTGAGTAAGAAAAGTAAATAATTTCAAAGATTGCATTACCTGCATGGATGTACCGACGCCATTGGGGGTCCAGGTATATGTGGATGAGTCTCCATTGTGACAGTTTTTTTTGCATGGTCCTGACTAACATCTTCATACATTTCTTCAACCGTTAAAGGTTTCCGATTCTAAAAAAAATTTTTTTTAGCCATGCATTGACTAGGAATTATAGTGATTATTTGTACAACTTACTTCATCATATCCAAAGAGCCACAGTCTTGGCGTTTGGTAATATTTGTCGTAGGTAATATGTAAGTCATAAGTGCGTGTTCTTACTATTTCACCTCCCGAGAATGAAGATTCTGTCTTATCTTTGGTTTGTTTTTTTGATGCATCTGTTGTGTACTGTTTGGATGAGAAAGAAAAAAAATGAAATAGATAACAAAAAGTGATTTCAGAGCATTCAATGAAATTACCTTGTCTTCCTCATCAAGCATTCCACTAACTTCAAAGGCTTCCATATCTGCTGCTTCTTCGTCATCCTCATCATCTTCAACATCTCCTTCAGTGTTTGTAGGGAATGACGGTTGTGCTTCTTCTAATGTCATTTCAGAAATCTTTTCTTCAACACCTCCAGCACTGACATCATAGTGATGAGTATCAACCCAACCACCTTCTGGATCATCTGCTTCAATAATTTGTTCTTGATCATCACAGTATTCGATCTGTAAATTACAGTTAAATAAACAAAAAATATGAAAAACGTTTCACAAGTTATTTTATAATAATGTGAGTGAATTCTACCTGTTTACATCTGCGGGAACAGGGGACATTACGTGTCAGCAAGAACTGTTTGTCTTTTGGTAAATATGGTTTAGTTCTATCTACATCACCAACTGCCCACTGCCAGGTTGGACAATGATGTACAAGGTGCTCACCAGCAGCAACAAATTCTTCTGGCGTAAGGACACCAGTTTCTTTAAATTTACTCTCCTAAATAAAATTTATTTCATAGTAAGTAGTTTCAATCAATTCACGTGAATGAAAGATAATGAAGATAAGACAACATCGACTAAGTTCGTACAATGAATTGGTGAAAAATAAATTTAAAATTAGGAAATAAATTTATTTCCCAATTCATTGAATAATTGCAAAGTGAGCACGATGAAAATGTAACAAACCTTTAAAACTGGAGTCAGGTATTCGGCAACACTGAGTGCAGTGCCCTTTACGGAATTTATCACACTTTGCATTGTTATCGAGTATTTTTTAACAAAAATAACCCTTTTAAAAGCAGAAGGCTTTTATTGACGGCTTAACGACCTTGACGTTTCGATCGTTTCAGAAACTTTATTTTTTAGATCTCACAAACTTCGCATGTGTGATTGTTGTGCATATACATGTAACGACTCAAACTCGAAATTCGATCCTGATGTAATTCATTCAACTCTTTAGTTATTTTGAAGAATCGAGTTTCGACATCAGTTTCGACGTTTCGAGTTAACTCTCTTTCTCTATATATATGTATATATCTACACATAAAAAACTAGGAACGCTGACTGTACACGCGGATGTTTGTCCTAAAAAAAAGCGTACGAGAAAATGGATGTTATTTAGACTTTGACGATTACAAATTACCGAAATTAATAAAAAATTGAAAGAGAAAATGATCACCAAGTATTTGTGGTCAGCAAAATCAATGCACCACGTACCCTTATCTAAGTTATTCAGAGAAAGTTTTCTCTTTTTATTTGTAATTTTTTTTAATAAGTTCAAGTACACAGTAATGTATATATATATATTAATTATCTTATTTTTTGTAGAACAAATCATATCCGAACAAATGTTGAATAACATTTAGCAGGCAAGGTAGGAAGTTTTCATTTACCACCGTACCAACGAATTCCTGCACAAAAAAAAATAACTGATGCCTGTATACAATTGACATTCTAAAAAATATTTCATGAACTATTTGAGCAATGTTCATTATTAGAAATTGAGACAAAAAAACGAAATTTGATTTTTCGTGTTTCTCCTTCAACCTTAAATATATTATCGATCGATCAATATTATTGATCACAATTCGTACTTTGGAGTACTTGTCAAAAATACACACAATGAAAAAATTTATTTTACTTTGGAACTAAGTTGAGACACAATTGTTTTTTGAGCCGTAAATTGTTGGAGAAAAAAAAAACGCTCTTTATGATGAGCTTTTTAAATACCAACGTCACAGCCTATATTTATGTATGACAAAATTGATAATAACTAAGAAAAAAAACCCAAGAGTTAATCCTCCATACTTAGTCTCATACTACATAATTTTTCATTTTCCTCCGAATAATATTTTTTAATCTAATTGGATTAAAATAACTTTTTGAACTGCAAAAAAATGTAAATATAAATTTACACGATACATCTAGACTACTGTACCAACGTACCCTGTTCATATACGGTAAGCCACTTTGCAAGCACAAAAAAGTGAAACATATATATATATGTGTGTGTGTGTGTGTGTGTGTCTCGGTCTTATAGCGAGCTTATGACATGTGTATTCGCACAGTCGCAGTTTGGCAAGTTCGATTCGTCGGGGATTGCATGCAGTACACATTTCAAGAACTTTCGGTCATCGCGGTCACGGGTCGTTGAGCTTGCAGCAGTACTTTATCACAAAGCGTTGTTTTACCAGCTAGTTATTGTTGTTGTTTTTTTTTTCGTTGAGTGTATATAAGTGCTAGACAAGACAACGTAGGGTATATCAGACACTTGCACAAGTTGTGGAGTGCAGAGCTCTGCTGGCCAAAAGGGCCGAGAGCAGAGAGGGTATAACGTAGTGTAGAAAAGCGAACGTTGGTGATGTCAGCGGCTTCACGGCTTTCGAGCTTTAGTGCGCGATTTGTTCTCGTGACTATGGAGGAGTTAAGAACTAAGTGTGCGCCTCTGGGTGATAAACACAAATCGTCGTGATCCTGGTTTTTCTGCCCCAGCGGCCTTGTGTAGTTGCTGCTGCTGCTCCTCCTCCTCTTCAGCTTCTCCATCTACATATTTTTGTCTAGCTATACATACACGGTTTTCTCTGCTGACTGCAGTGGCCAGGCCACTTATTTGTCACATATATATGTATTGAGACAGGTGATAATGACACGCCTATTATTATCAGCAATGAATACTTAATATGAATACCTCTTATCCGCTTACACTTTGCACACATGTATATCCTCATTGCGATTATTATTTTCTTTTATTTGCCTATACATACTTATACATGGACTGTGTGTGCCAGGTTTCGTCTGCTCCGGTCTCCGGTCTGTTTTCAGCAGAAAGCTTGTATATAAGTACTGCTGTAGAGGCAAAAAATATATTACGACGCATATTTATCAGCAACACAGCTATTGTTTTCTTTTAACATTATCCTTGACTTGTTTTTCTTTAAAAAAAAAATTGTGAAATTTTTCAGATTAACCCAGAATATTTGCTGTTGACTTGTTACTGAGGAATGGCAGCAGCCCTTAAGAAAAATCATTCTCGTCGCAGGCTGGCTGCATTTACGTTTCTTTCCAATATATCATTGGATGGAAGTCATCAAGACACGCGACTAGTGCTTTTACCTTGCAATGGCGTACTAAACAATGGAAACTGTGATGTTCAAGCAGTGCTAACTAAAAATAATCATGCTAACAATCAGGCTCCCTGGGACTGCATTTTAGATAATTTGCACGACGAGAGCGTCGATCAATGTAAAAGACTGAGCGAATCACCACAGCTTGCTGTGCCTTATCATCATGTAACAGATCCTTTCAGCTCTGACTCTGAGACTGCCGTTACCCCAGCAAAGGCATCTTATACTCATCCTCAACACTTGCCAGCACATCATAGCTCGTTTAGAGAACGGTAAAATATTCATATTCTTTTATATTATTTTCTAATTGATTAATTACAACTTGTTAGTCGTTTGTTAGTGAGGTCAATTTTTATTTTCGTAAAAAATGCATTACTTCATCAGCTTATGTCATATTTTGTGCAGTATGCTTCGTATTTAATTAAACTAATTGAATTTTGTTGGCTTAAAAGTGCTTGTGGCACATTCTCACTTGACTTGCATAATTTTATTAATCAATGTAAAACTTGACCTTTGACATTGACTTTGTAAACATCGCAATCCATATAAAACCACTAGCGTATTCTTTGCTTTTATTATTACTCTATTTTTTATCTTCTAGTGCTGGAACAGTCGGGAGCGAGTATTGTTTGATAGAAAAAAGAGTTGGATCTGTGCAATACAAAAGAAGAATCACTCATCAAACATCAACTTTATCAGAAGATGTTAAAAACCAATACAACAGTAGCAATGAAAGTTTAGGATCTTTAAGATCAAAAACCACTTCACAATCATCAAAGTCAAAAGCCAAAGCCTTGAACAGTTTACAAACTGGTTGTATGAATATACCAGAAGTAGCTAAAGAATTGCGTTTTATGAAAAAGCCCATTGAAGGTCACAAATTTACGGATGACAGAGTAATTTTAGTATCATCAAAAAAAGTACCGTTTTTAGTTTTTTCATCGCTACCCTACAGCAAAGGACAACGCACCAGTTGGTAAGTATAAAAAAAAAAAAAAAAAAAAAAATGCTTAATTTTGCATACTACACTTATAAATTTCTTTCCAATTTTCTTAAAACTACTTATTATTTTACAAACGTAAAATTTGAAACTCGTATTATTATTAGCTTACAAAGCGTTAGGAGTAACTCACCTATCTTCAAAAATCTCTCCATCTCCAATACAATTTTGAAAAGGTATCTTACTAAATTCAGTAGGATCTATTATTTGTAGATAGATTTTCCACTGCATTTCACAGCTTAGAACTCACATAGAGTATAGTCAAGACAACATTTAAATACAATTTTTCCACCACAATTTTAATCATCTGATTTTTTGCAACTTTTCAAAATTACCAATAGACATTTTCAAAATTCATTAATGAATTTCAAATTCGATAAAAATCGGATTAACATAGGAAAAATTTAAACGTTTAGGTCAGAATTACGAAAAGATGCCGGTCGCAGGAAAAATACGATAAATTCAAGACCTCTATCTTCCATCAACGATAACTTAGATCCTTATCGTTTACTGGGTATTGAAAGAGCTCAAGATGGTCAGTTGATTTCTTATCGAAAATTGCTTACACCTTCTAGACATTTTCAAAAGGAGCGAAAGACACATTTAAGTGACAGTGACGTTATAGATTTTGTGCATGCTAACAATAGCAATAAACATCATGTTGTATCAAGGTAAGATAATATTGTTATTTTTTCTATCTATTTTCCAATTTTCTCTTATTTACAATCGGGATGTTGCAAGATAAAGAATTTTTATTATGTTTAGTCTGTCAGACGGATTATTAAAAAATAAGCGACATACATTTTTTCTTGATTCGTGTAAACAGGCATTGACAAAAATAGAACAGATCAAAGTTCGAAAGTGGAGAATGAGTGACGTCAGGATTGTTTTCACGATATTTACAATACAAAATAAGAACAATCGCGACGTTACGCACCAACCACTCCAGGACTTTATTGCGCTTTGATTGCTTGTAATAAAAAAATGTGTCTAGTATTTTCTAATGATCTATCTAGCGGACCTAATCAATTTTTTCGTGGAATATCCCAATCGTCATAACGTATTTTTATTGTGATATTTATTAACGCTACTGCGAAAGAATGATTTTCACATGAAGTCATAAGTATAGACTTTTTTCTAAAAATAAATTGGCCATCCATTTTTTTTGTTTTATTATTTTAGTCAATTTTTTAAAAATTTCAGGACCAAAACAATTACATGGAATACAGATCGTAACAAGTGGTAAAAAAGAGCTGTTGTTTATGATATTAGTGTTTATATATACCACTATGTACATAAATATGCATAAAAATATATGAGTATAACAATCAAATTAAAAATTTATAAGTATAAAAAATATGTTGTGTTGTGTGAAAAAATAGTTTTGTTGGGCATACCAATGGTGATAGAAGAAGAAAGATCGTATTTCAGCTCAGATTACCGTTAAGAAAGGAAATAACTCGAATTGTAACTTATCTGAGTTATCACATTTCTCAGCGCTAATCCGAGTTAGATCCTTTGTTAGCACCAATTAATGTTATGACCTATCTTTTTCTAGTCCACGATATGTAAATTTTGCATGCTGATTTTCGTTGAGTAATGAGCGTATAGTGGCGTCTGTTTGTATTTAGTGTCTTATTATAACGATACATCAGAAATCCAGAAGTGGATACTCAGGCTCTCGCTCTCTTTGCAGCCATTTATTAATTATAAACTTGCAAAACTATACTCGTAGCAAAAATTGATGTCAGTACAGGACGATAAACAGCTATTTAATGTGTCGAGATATTATAAAAACATCGAGTTGTGTAATAAAAATCGTAAAAGCGTGTTTTTTGCAGATAAAACCGAATTACACTATTAAGCGTTGACAAGCTGTAAAAAAAATTTTCTAAAAAAATTTCAAACTTTTTTTGACGTACAATAAGTAACAAATAATAAATATGTATATTAAATAGTACAGGTTCAAAAAGCAATTTCTGCTATTATAATGATTTGAAAAATCGATTAACTTAAAAATCAATTTATTAGTCATTTACTAAAAATACTCGTACAAGCTTTTTGTATTATCAACCAGTAAATAAAAGTAAAATAGATTATTATTTTAATAAGAATTTTCATAAGTGTTGAGTTTGCAATAAATATACTTCGTAATATTTATTATTATTTAATATTTATTACATTGTATAAAACTGAATCTTATAAGTACTTTAAAAATTGCAGGTGTTTATCTTATGATATGTCATCGAATCGTATACAACACGTATCAGAATCCCCACCAGTGATATTAGCGACTGAAGGAAAAGGTATATTTACTGAATATTGCATTGCTGGCAACGAAAATTGTTAGTTTTAAACACGATAGGTTTTCAAATCGTACGTTAAAGTTTTTTTTTTTTTTTTTTACTTTTTTGGAACTACTGCAAAAATTAAAATTTGTTAAATAAAAATTTCTAGATTCAGATCTCGATCTTCATATTTCGTCATGAATAATTAACGTTTGTATAAAGATCTAAAAAAATCGTAATTAATTTTCAGTTCTCGAGTGGAATGATGAAATCCAATATAATCCCAATTTACTTGACGATCCAGAACTAATCGCAGGAAAGCACCGCACATTGCTCACGTTTACATCATATATGGTTAATTTTCTCATGTCTCATGAAAATAAAAATTAATTATCACATTACACATGTTCATCAATTTTAATCGTATCGTAGGCATCAGTCATTGATTACGTGCGACCGTCGGATCTTAAGAAAGAATTGAATGATAAGTTTCATGAAAAATTTCCGCACATTCAGCTGACTTTGAGTAAATTACGAAGGTATTCAGTGATTTTTAGCTATTATGAATTTTTTTTATAAATGATTAATAATTTCAATTTTTAGCTTGAAACGAGAAATGAAAAAAATTGCAAAAATGGAAAGTGGAGTGGAAATGTTAACGGTCGCTATGGCCTACGTTTATTTTGAAAAATTAATTCTAAGAAATGTTGTTACGAAACAGACTCGTAAATTGTGTGCTGGCGCTTGTTTGTTACTTGCTGCCAAACTGAATGATGTCAAGGGCCAAGTATTGAAATCACTTATTGAGGTACGTATGAGTCACAATAATAATTTACGAGTTTATAGATCAAGATTTTTGTTCAATAATTTATTTATCAATAATTCATTTGTGGTGTACTATTTGGGATAACTTACTGAAAAATCGAAAACATTGTTTTGATAATTTATTATGAATAAAATGACGAAAAGTTATAGTTTTCACGACTACATGTAAATAAAAACAAATTTAACTATAATGTTTATTAAAAATAATTATAATTTTAGAGAACAGCAAATGTTTTGCGTTTAAACAGAAGAGACCTTTTGGCGTCAGAATTTGCAGTACTCGTTGCACTTGAATTTGGCTTGCATCTTCCAACTTGGGAAGTATTTCCCCACTATCAACGTCTTATATACGAATCTTGACCCATTATTTATTTATTCTAAGTACCTGTACCTGATTTGACCCGTAGCGTCCTAAATTTTATGCTAAAGGCTTTCAGCTAAACAAAAAATACATACACCAAATAATGGTTTACGCTTTTTGAGCCAACGATTCTTGTTAAAATTTTGTTATTTGAAACTTATAGGTCTTTAGTATGATATTTTTTACTAATTATATTTTATATCATATTAATATTGATTGGTCACATTAATTCATTTGTTTATGTAATAAGACTGATGGTTATTGGATGACAAACATATTTATATTTTACTTGGTAAACAAAATTTATCTCATTTATATTTGGAAACGTTGTTTATATATTTTAAAAATTTTATTTTTTAAACATTTATAGACTAGTCTTAGTATTTATCATGAAATTACTTTAAAAATTGATTTTTA